GGCACACCAGGTGCAGGGGCAGTAGTTGCAGGGCTGTGGGTGCAAGACTGCACTGTCACCACCTGCAAGGGCTTGGAACAAATGTGAGAGTGAGACTTTGATTTGTTAAATTTGCAGCTTCTCCCACAACTTAGTTGCTGTTTTATGAAGTCCAGTCAGAGTCCCACTGAAAAAAGACAAGTTCCAGCAAAAGCTTTCCAGCAATGAATTGTGTTGTTCATGTCCCCCGTCCCCACCTGGAAACACGGCTGTTTAAATATTCCATGTGCTGTGGGCAGAGCTCCAGTGAGAACAAACCTCTGGGCTCCAAGGCTGGATTAGGAGCATGTTCAGATAATGACATCTGAAAACAGGATGGCTGGGAGCTGCAGCAGAGCAACGAGGGGGCTTTGAAAGAGAGAGGAGTCTAATCCTCTCTGCTAATAAGGAGGCAGCTGCTTCCAATGCATCAAGCTTGGCAGGTGCTGCTTTGCTGCTCCTGGGTTCTCTGACGATGGCAGAGAGGCACAAAGACCCAGCTGCTTCCATGTGCTTGGGGAAGAGCCACAGGGGAAGGGTGAAACAAGAACATTTTGATGTGCACTTGAGCAGGACAGGCACCGTGCAGTGCCTCACGGCGGCGCAGAGCTGAACAGGAGTGGGTACACAGACGTGCAAATCCCTGCTGTTGGTGCAGAACCAGTTGCACTTGCAGGGCACTGCAGCCCAGCCAGGAGGGCAGCTGGATCTGTGCTGGCCATGGACAGTGCTGTGGCCTCGCTGGTGACAGCTGCTGTGCACAGCAGTGTCTGGATACACCGGGCCTGGGGATGGGAGCAGTGACCTGACACAGAGGGGGAGCACTCAGATACTTCAGAGAACATGAAGTGCTGTGAACATGTACTTGGTCCTTCTTTTTTCCCCCACAAGTAATTGGCTTGCTTCCTCATAAAAAACAGCATCTACTGCCTGTCCCACTCTGCAGGAATGCTGGTGATGAGAGCCTGTGCTAGACCCATCTCCAGTGGGAAGTGTGGAAGTGCCCAGGTCTGCAGTGAGTCCTGGCTGGGAAATGTAGTTCTGGAATGGGGACTGTCTGTATGGAGTGCACAGTTTTTTAGCCAATTTACACTAAGCCCTCCTGGCTGCTGGAGTAGCTGTCCCAAGGGCACTGTGCTCGCAGTGGGGCTGTCAGGACACTCCTCACCCCCAATGGCAGTCACTGGACTTGGCCACTGCATGGTCTGCACAGGTTACTGCAGCAGGAAAATGCTACTCAGCAGCCAGAGAGGAATGCTGACTCTTGGATGCCTGGCATGCAGCTTTGTGTTCTTGCTAAATTCTGTCAAAAGCGTGTGGATTTCAGCATTTTAGTGGTGATGAGGAGATTTCCACTCCTCACCCCTTCCATGCAGACACGACATTTCATTCTTGCTCACCTCTTGTTTGAGGGACACTCAAACACGTGTTGATTTGGAGCTTTGATTGTCCCCATGAGGCTTTGGGTGGGTTACAGCCTGACGGTACCACCACGGACCCCAATCCAGCACCCAGAGCTTGGAGGCCATGGTAGGAAAAGTCAAAATGTGAACATTCACATCTCTAATTCCTTGTCCCATTTAGCGAGCTGTGGAACTGTGAGCATGAGCTCGTTCTCTCATGGTGTCTGTGAAGGGCCCTGATGGCAACTCAGAGAGAACCTCAGAGCTGCTGGGAAACCTTAACACCAGAGTCCACCAGAGAATTCCGTTCTCCAGAGAGAATCCCGTTCCTCCTCCACCTCCCAGCGGAGAACTGGAGCTGCAGCAGTGACTGTTCAGGGGCTTCTGGGCTTTCCAAACACCCCACCTGCTCCAAACTCTCATGAGCATAAACCACCTCCTCAAGCAAGAACACAATTCCATCACTTAAAACTTTGGGGTTTTTTTTCCAGTTTTTATTGAGTGAAAATGTCAAACCTTGCATCAGTCATGCAAAAAAAAAAAAAAAATCAAATAAATAAAACACATATATTAAATTTCTAATAGCACTAAATTCAAGTGGAAAAATATTCAGTTCTTAATAACGCAGGTGCTGAAGAGACCAGATTCAAGTAAATCAGAGCACACCATCCTGTTTAGGGTGTTTTTTTTCACTTTCTGCATTTTTGTCTCAAAACCTATATATATATCTATATATCTATATATATGTATATACATATAGATATATACACACACACATATATATGTGCATACATATTATTTTTATATTTATATATATACACATACATATTTATAAAACATTAAAAAGAGCATTGGTGGTTCAAGCATTTATTTCCCCCCCTTCCCCATGGAAAGAAAAAAAACAACAACAAAACAAAATAAAATTACACATTTAAAATTCAAAATGAGCTAGCAATGGCTTATAGTCCTAGTGTGCAATATGGATATTACAAAAGGCTAGAATCCTCCCTCATTGTCTTTTTTTTTTTTTAATTTTTGTTTTTTAAAGTTGTTTTTTTTTTGCTACATTGGAAATTTTTTTTTAAAATTTTTTTTTCTTTACAAAATTCCTTCCACGCAGACTTTAATCCAGTTGAGTTTGTGGCTAGAATGAACAATCTAGTCAATAGTTTCAATTTTTTTGCTCTTCAGCAGCGAATGGTAGCAGAATCAGGAGGGTCCATCTCAAGGTTTATTTTGTTTGGTTTTTATCTTGTTTTGGACAAAATAGTTCCATTTCCTCTCTCCTCTTTCCCCTCCTTATAGAGCCAGTTGAATCTCCCTCTCTTTCTCTGGTCATTCTTCAGACAGTCCCACTGATATGAGCGCTTGGAATGACAAACACCTGCTCTGATGGGTTCTTGGGCTCGCGAGGCCCTTGTTCAGAAAAGCACTTAAGCTCGGGCTTAAACCTGGGCCCACTCAGAGTCATCTGCTTAAGGGTTTTGCTGAATTAAAGCCTGAACATGGCAGAATAAAAAGTCGGGTTCAACTTTCTTTTGTTGTTGTTGCAAACAGAGACAGTGTAAGAGTTCCAGGGCTGGGAGAAGGATGGGGCCAGGCCGGCCGCTGTCCTGCCAGGGCCTGCTCAGGGCTCACTTCAGCAGGACCTGATGGGAAAGAGCTCTCGCTCCCTGCGCCAGCTCCTAGAGAAGAGGTGATAGAAGTTTGGGAGAAGGGCTGAGATGCTAGGGAGAAGTAGGGTGCCTGGGGGGAGAAAATGGTGTGCATAGATAAACACGGGCCCTCGCGGCGCGCTCAGCCCCACGGGCCGAGGGACACCGGGCCCCACGCGGGTCCTGGCGCGGCGCCGGCCGCTCCTGCGATGGAGCCACTGGACATCCCTCACCCCTGGCCCCAGCATTCTGCTCTCCCCTCTGCTGGGCAGTGACTCTGTCCGTGGGCCGGCAGGGACAGGGGACAGGTGAAACACCGGCTCACCCGAGCACAGGGGCACGAGTGGCCTCCCCTGCAGCAGCTCCGTCTGCTCCCAGGAGCGCCTGGTCCTGCTCCCACCGTCACCCACAGAGATCCTGGGCATTCTGGCGGTACAAAATAACGACATCTGCTTTGCAAGATGTGGCTTGTGTTAATCTAAGGATTCCTCCTGGAGCCCATCACCATACTATCTAAGTAGCTGAACACGGGGAAAATGTACAAGTACAGAACCTGCAGCAAATGCTAGTAAAGTAAAATCTTTTTGCCCCATCCCATTTTGAGAAATTCCAGAGCATCAATTCCATCACTCTGCCCCAGGAACGTGAGCTTCATTCTGTTCAAGAATGGGGTTATGCTAGGAAACACACAGCTGAGGGCAGGGGATATACCAAACAAAACAAAAACAAACAAACAACAAAAAAACCCCCTATAAAAATAAAAGCCACACAAATAGCTGATAGAGGAAAAGAACTCCAAAGAATTAAATAAACTACAAACTAGTGATAATATTTCATTTGTTTTCATTTGTTTCATCTCTACAAAATTCAAGTTAGAGTTCGGAATCGTGCAGGTCCGGTCAGTGCTGGGAGTGTGAAGTCAGCCTCAAACCAGAGCATTAAGGCTCTCCCCTCCCCTGCCACCCCTACAAACATACACTACATTGAAAGAGAGAGAGAGAAAAAAAAAAAAAGGGAAAAAAAAAAAAAAAAAAGAGAGGAAAAAAAAAAAGGAGAAAAAAAATTGCACACAATTAACCATATTGTAAGGGCTATCCAGAAGGCAGGTGACACCTCCCCCTCCACCCCTTGGCATTGGTGGTTTCTCTTTTGTTCTATATATAGTAATAACCTTTACAGGAAAAATACTGTACAACTTTTTTTTTTTTCCTTTCCTTTTGAAACATTAGCTGAACATTCTGTCCCCACATTTACACAGCTGAGCTGCTTGTTTATAAATCATACCTGATCTGCACCAGTTCCTTAGGGAAATTAAAAAAAAAAAAAAAAAAAGCAACTTAAACTTCTTGAGACCTTTATCTGTTCAGGGTGAAAACAAATCCTGGGGATCCCTTAGAGGTGAAGCGCTCCTGGAGCTGAGGAGGGGAGAGGGTGCCTGCCTGCATGGTATAAAAAAAAAAGTTTTTTTTTTTTTAAAAAAAAAGACAAAGCTCAGAGTAATCTGGTATACTTTAAAACTGGCACCGAAATAACTATCAGAATGAATTCATTAAGTCCTTCAGGTGCCCTGGTGTGTGTAGACAAGCCCTTTCAGGCCCAGGCAAAGATCTGGGGTCAAAGAGCGGCTGTCGCAGCGTCCTGTAGTGTGTTCCCAGCCCAGGCCAGGCCAAGGCAGCAGGGAAGAGCCTGGAGCCAGGGGAAAGCCCGAGCTGCTGCAGGTCTCAGCCCAGTGCAGTGCCCGAGCCCTCAGCCCTGCGTGCCCAAGGGGCCCAGACCTGCAGCCACTCCTGGGTGGCACCTCCCCAGCGCCGGCGGCTCCGGGCTGCAGCAGGGCCTGGAGCTGCAAAACCCAGGACTGGCAGCAGGTCCTGCTGCAGAACAGGGCCTGGAGCTGCAAAACCCAGGACTGGCAGCAGGTCCTGCTGCAGAACAGGGCTGTCCCCCACCCCAGAGCTGAGCAGGACCCCCCCGTGGGCTCAGAGCGTGCCCTGCCAGAGTCACCTGAGATCTGTGTCCACCTGCAGCGCAGGGCTGAGGAGCAGGGCCTGGGAACGGGGACCTGTCCTGCTCTGACTGCCTGGGGCAGAGCACGGCCCTTGCTCAAGGCTGCTTTAGTGAGCAGGAGCTCCTGTGCGGGTCCTGTGCTGCACCATGGGGCAAGGGCAGCTCACAGCCTCCTGAGATGGGGGTACTGAAGCACCACAAAAACGCCTCACCCTCTGCAGAGAGGAGGCACCTAGGGGTGGGGATGAGATGGAACTGGATGGCAGAGTAACCCCAGTCCTCCAGTGTGACAGACCCTTTAGACTGCCTGCTGTGATCTTCCCAGGTTACTTCAGCTAAATCCCTACAGTCAGAACAGCAGGGATGGGGAGAGGTGTCCTACAGAGAAAGGGTAGACTGAGAAAGTTTTACAATATAAATAGCATTCAAAATTATTATCATTAACAGTAAAAAGGATCTGGAAGAACAGAGGAGTGTCCCATTCCCACCCCTGCTCATTCATTAATGCATCCTCATTTATGTGACAATAAATACCCACTCCCACCCTGGCTGTCTGATGCCATTTAATGCTGGAGAAAGAAGGGGGAAGGGTGGAGAGAGAGAGCACACTCCTCACCCCCTCCTTCCCACTGGCAAAAGCTGAGCTACCTGTCTTTGTGACACCAATTCCTTTAATTTTATATATGTGTGTGTGTGTGTGTACATTATATAGAGAGACACACACACAAATATATATTTGTAAAATTCATTACCTCTTGTTCCCACCCACCCCCCTCCAAGAAGTGGAGATTATTATTATTATCGTACAACTGAAAACATAGAAAAATAAAACCCAGGAAGAAAACTGAGGGGGGATAGAGCCCCACTCATAAAAAAGGGTCCCCAGATGGGCACAGGCCCCACGCACCGTGCAGGGAGCAAGGAAAAGCAGCAGGTACCCTCAGGGTTCATGTCCATACAAAGGGGATTTTTTGCTGCATCCTGCCCCCTTGTTCTGGGATCTGAAGAATGGAGTGAAGCAGCACCAGTCCTGCTGCGAACCAATCTCTTCTGGGGCCTGGGCAGGAGCAGGGGTTTCCTTCCTTCCTCTCTCTCATTTGTGGCACGGAGTTCGCTTTTCATTTGCCATCCCCATCTTTGTTCTCGCCTCATATGGGGTCCTCCTAGTAATTCTGTGTAAGAGAAAAACCAAACCACTGCCGTTGCTGTCTCTAGGATTAAGGAGAAGCTGCTGGAGCAACGGTGGAGGCTGAGGCAGCAGCCGGAGCTGGAGCAGGGGCAGGAGTGGGGGCTGGAGTGAGGGCTGGCTCGCCCTGCGGCCTGGAAGCATCACCATGGTCTGTGGAAGAAGCACCCTCCTCTGGTTCTCCATCTTCTTTAGTGGCCAGGCCTTCAGGGTCTGGCAGCGATTCTTCAGAATCTGTGTTCAGGTCTTCCTCCTCTTCATCCTCCTCCTCCTCATCATCATCATCCTCCTCTTCATCATCCTCCTCTTCTTCATTCATCTCCTCCTCATCGTCCTCTTCATCCTCTTGGGAAGAGTCGTCCTCGTCCTCCACCCCACCAGGGCCAGGTGCCCCTGTGCTCCTCTCCTGTGACGTGGCCCCGGCTCTGCTGGGGGACGGGCCCTCGGTCACTTCTGCCGGCTTCTTGCTGAGGTCCAGGGAGTCACTGAGGCCCACTCCAGCTGCGTTCTGCAGGAAGAACAGGGAGCTGTTGTTGTCAGTGCTGAGGTTGAGGGAACTGTCCAGGTTGATGGAAGAGTTCTGGATATCGTACTCGAGAGTGGAGTGGGTAAGGCCCTCGGGGCCGGGAGAGATGGCAGGCAGCTCCCCTCGCTCCTGCTTCTCGTGCTTGCGCTTGTGAGAGTCCATCTGTGACATCCCTACCACCGTGTGTTTGCAGCCAGGGTAGGTGCAGTGGAAGTGGGAGCATTTGAGTTTGTACTTGCAGTCAGGCACCTCGCAGTCCACGCTGGAGCTGAACTGGCAGAAGCCGGCGGCGCTGATGACGTCCTGCTTGCCGTGGTGCTTGCGGTGGGCTGTCACCTTGGTGCTGTCAGTGCAGCGGAAGCCGCAGCGCAGACAGTGGAAGTGTGTGCTATTGCCAGAGAACTGACAGTCTGGGAAGTTACAACTCAGTGAAGACTTGAAGCGTTTGAAATCATCCAATACTAGGTTGTCAACACGGTCGTGGTGCTGGGCGTGCTTATACATGTGGGTACGGCCGCAGAACTTGTAGCCACAGTTCTCCCGTGTGCAGTGGTAGTGGGTAACCTTGAGAGAGAACTGGCAGCTGGAGTCCTTGCAGTCCTCGTAGAGGTCATAGCGCCGAAATCCCTCCAGCATCATCCCTTCATCCAGCATCTTGCGCGAGGACGCGGTCTTGCGGCGCTTGCCAAATGGGGACATGTCCTCAATAATCCAGAAACGCTTTTTGGCCCCCGAGGCAGTTGGCATAGTGATGGTGTTCCCTGAGGAGAGAAAGCGCAGAGCGGTGTTGCTGACAGCCAGGTCCCTCCATGTCCCAGGCGTCCTGGCAAGCTCTGTGTTTGCCAAGGCACAGCTGCAACTGCTCCCACCCCGCAGCTCGTCCCTCGAGCTCTGCGTGAGCCTGAGCTGGGATCCTGGGCTAGCTGATTCCTGCTGGACATCACTTCCTCAGTCTTCAGCACATCCTACCTTGTCTCTGGCTGCTGCTCTGGCAAATCTGATCTTGTACAAATGTTAACTGTTGCTTCTCTGGCTTGCTACTTTCACAGCTTCTCTGGCTGCTTAACTAACCTGTTTTCCTGAAATCAGACTTTAATAGGGAGGAGCTGGCTTGTTCAAGTCCAAGGACTGGGGTGTGTTACTGTAGTTCCCTAGGGTGGTAAAGAGTTGCAGTGTGCTAAAAGCTTGTACGTGTGCACTGCTTTCTCCTACCCAGGCTCTTGTAATGCACTACAGTTGCCAAGGACAGGCAGGGAGTGAAGGAAGATCCCATGCGTGATTAAAACTGCAGCAGGAGGGGGTGGAATTTATAGAAACAGGATGGACTTTGGCCAGGAGACTGCAACATCCCTCACTGTAATGAGCCTACATATCACAATGAGTGCACTTAGAAAGACACATGGACAGATGTTCAATGGGGCTAATTCTCATCATCACTAGCCAGTGGACTCTGAAAGAAAGTACCAGTTCTGCAGCATTCCCTTGGGTCTCAAAAATTCCACAATGTCCCTAGTATAAATAAAGATCCCTCATCTATCTTCCACTTTGCTTCACAGGGCCAGCATAACTGGCTAGTGCTCACGTCCCCTAGGATCATTCTGACATCAAGGACTCGACCTCAATGTCTATTAACTTTTTTTCTTGTCTGCTTGCAGAATGACTTCCTTTCTGGCAGGTGCACAGGTGATGCCCCTCAGTGACAACCCTTCCAGAGAAGGTGGCGACCACTGAAGGAAACCTCCCACACAAGGCAATGGGAGTGGTGGCAGGAACCTCCTCTCACGTGGCTGGGGATAAGCAAAGAACACTCCTCTGTACAGTGTGGGGATAAGCAAAGAACAAAGGGCTTTTCTTCACCATTTGTTAATTAATGGGTCTTGTGCTCAGACTCAGGACACCAGCTTAGGTCATCCATGGTGAGACCATCTGAGTGACATGCTGGAAACTGCACGCTAAGGCTGATTTAACCAGCTACCAGTGAAAGAATAACTTTCTGTCACTGGAGATTTGAAACTGGCAGGCTCTTAACTACAGAATCTGTGACCAATTTACTCTCTGCTCCCCCCTAAACATCTGGTATTGTAAAATCCAGTTCTGCACTCCCAGCCAACTCATGTAAGTGCAGTGGTGCCTGGACAAGTCACTGCTGTCCAGATTAACTCCTTTTAATAAAATTACAGCCAAACCATCAAGTTCCTTATCATTAATTAACTAATGCTCATATGGTATGTCTTCAGACGGGAATGTGGGATAACCCATCTCAGAGAAAAGACTCTGGATGGAAAATAAGAAGAATTTAAATTTTACCTGTTTAAAACTCTCTATCTACACAGCTTTTAAAATAGTTCAAACAGATGTGCTTAAAACTTTAGTTGAAAACCAGTTCTGTTTTCTCAAACAGGCAAAGTTTTGGAGGGCATAATGAAGAGAGATGACACCTTGGTGCACTCTCCTCTTTTGCCTGCACCCTGTGGAAGATTACAAGCCTCAATGGATGTGGTCCCCACCAAATCTCAATGGTGTTTTCCGTAAGCTTATTTATTTAACCACTAATAATGTCAGCATTCATCCAACTATACCAAGGTAAAAACAAAAGATACTTTAAAATATTTGATTAGAGGAAGCACAGCACAAGGTTAGTAGGTTTCAGGCTGCATGCAATTCAGTTAAAAAGAAGCAAAGATAGAGTTTCTTGTGAATTTTGTTAATTGGCACACACTCCCCTGGACAAGGCAAGGATCCTTCTCCTGCCAAGTCCCTTGAGAAAAACCTATGAACTGGAGTTGGAAACCTGTGAATTTGGTCCTCCAGCCATGCTCCCAGCCACTGACCTTGGATTTACATATTACTAAAAACCTAGGAGGAAGAATGATTGGGATATTTGTAGGCTGCCAGAAGCCTCCTAAGTGTGAACGTTAGGCACAAAGATGTCCTTAATTAACTGGAAAAGAACTAGGAGTTGGGAAAAGAAGCCAAAAATGAGACACACCCTAAAAGCCATTCCCAGATGGAATGAGAATACCCAGCCTGAGACATCTCTGATCTTAGTCACACACGGGAATCATGGCAGCTTCAAACTGAAATCTATCTGCATTTTCTGCAGCTGATTAGAGCAGATATAAATAACGAGTGTGAGAAACAGCTCAACCTGTCTGATGATGTCATCATGTGACTCTGCCTGTACTGCATTCCTCATCCTGGGAAGGCTGCCCTGAACTTTGTGGCTTCACATGAAGTTTGCAAGATCAGTTGAAACACAGGACCTGGGTACCTCATCAGACATTCACCCACTGTGTCCAGCACACTAAGGCAGGCACTGGCTTGGGTGGCCTGGAAGATCTAACCAAAAAGTCCAGGTCCCATTAATGCCACATGAGCAAAAGTTGGCTCTGTGGCCACTTTGAGGTTACCAAAACACTGAAAATGCATTTTAGTTGTGGATTTTGTTAGGTTTTTCTCATAGTCAGGAATTGGTGGCAATTGCTCTCAGTTATCCATCCAAACGTCTGTGAATGATTTGCTGTGGTTTGTTTCCCCTTTGCTGTGGTTACTGTGTCAGCAGGGAAAAGGAGCAGGCATGGATGGGCCCTTGGATAACATTTGATAAGGCACAGAGTGACCTTTGCTGCTCTACCAACCCAAAGGTGCAGAGAAAAAACGTGGGCAGGGTGAGTGGGGACGGAGCTGGGCACAGGACATGGAGAGAAAGCAAAGAAGTGTTACCTGCTGCATCCTGCACTAAGGGAACGTCACTTTTTACTGGAGTTGGAGTGGCAATGATGGGCGAAAACCCAGTGGTGCTGGCGGCAGGCATGACAATGCCTCTGCTGGCTCCCAGAGTGGCACTGAGCAAGGAGTATGAGAGACAAGATGGAGAGAAGAGATAGGGGAGGGTGGGAAGGGGAGACCTAAGCAGGGCTTGTGAGAAAGATGGAGGCAGAGATGGTGGTGGAGGTTGTGGTGCAGTGTGGGTTGCATCATCGGCAGCAGCAGTAGCAGTAGAAGGAACCAGGCAGCCTGGAGAATGTGGAGAGAAAAAAAAAAAAAGAAAAAAGAAAAACAAAAAAAGAAAAACAATAAAACAAAACAAAACCAAAAAAACCCAAAAAAACAACAAAACAAGAAACAAAAGAACTGAAATGAGAACCCAAGAGCAGAAGCAATATGATGAAAATGGAAAACACATTCACAAATGTATGAAAAAGAACTGCAACAGAGAAGAAACAGAAGGTGAGGAATTGACAGCACCAGGAAGAGGAGAGTTGTCTATGCAGGAGATAGCGTGGCTTTACGGTATGGTGGAAGAGACACAGGCTTCCAAGCAGGAATTCTGGATTAATTTGGTCATTCTGGTCCTTGTTCATCTCTAGGACTGCTGCCTGCTTCAGGTAACAGCTGTAAGGGTGCTCCTGCACTTGGGGGGGATGGAGCTGCTCCCTGCCTGGAGAGCAGTGGGGGGACATTCCCTAGCACTTGGGCCATTACTGACACAGAGGAGAGTGCCAGGAACCACTGCCCCACCAGAACCCTCTGGATGTGCCATAATGCCGTGGGGCCAGTGCCATGACCCAGCAGTGCTCCTTCAACATGACTGCGATGGCCTTTATCTGGGGTGGGAAAGAAAACCAGGAAAATATGTATGGAATTAAAGCAAACTGAGGCAGCCTATGCAGAATATCCCACTTAACCCTGGAAAGGACAGCTGAGAGATCCCTGGTCATCACTATATGACGGCAGAATTCCTACCAGGTACCTGGCTCCTGACAAGCTGACCCTGTAATGCAGGGCAGGGGGAGATGGCTCTTCATGATCCTGGCAAACAGGGCAGGAATTCACTTCCCAAAAGAGGGGATGAAGGGGGTGTGCTCTGTGCAACTGCACAAAGTGGAACAAGAGTTTTTGGGTGAGGAAGTGAGCTCAGTGAGCTGCTTTTAGATGTTGATTTCTGCAGATGTGATAGGCTTTATCCCCTGTGCATGACATATCTGCTGTTGTACTTCACCACTACAGCAAAGTGCCTGACTTTACTGTACAAAGTAAATACAAAGAGATACCAGAGGAAATGCCAAGTAAAGAAGTAGCCCACAGCTCTTTTTTTTTTTTTTTTTTTTTAATCAGCTATTAAAATAGACCCAACTCCAAGACCCAGGATAAAAATCTCTCTTCATGGGAGGAAAAAATTATGCTGCTAGTTCCTGGATGCTTGAGGTGTGTATTTTGATGGACCTCTTCTCTCAGGTGCTGGAGAGAGCTGGGTTAGTGTGAGGCACTACTGAAGTTGGCACAGTGTGTATTTTTAGATGCAACTGTCCCTTGGCCTCTTTTTATGAGCTTATCTCCCAGGAGAGCAGGCAACTCCTGATCCATTTCACACACACCCTTCTCCCTTACCTGCTGATGTACTTTCATTGCCCACTGGAGTGCTGGAGCAGCTGCGGTCCATATTGGAAGATTCAGAGGAGATGCCCCCAGGGCTACAGCCAGTGTAATCCATGTACTCTTCTGTTTCAGTGTCCATCATGCTTGGGGGTCCCTGAAAGGAAGCTGGGGTTCCTGATGAGGCTGGGCTGGGTGCCATGCTGCCAACCTGGGGGAGATTTTCATTTCTTGGAGTGTGCCCAATAACCTGCAGCAGGAAAACAAGACAGGGACTTTCACACCAAAAGGAAGATACCAGGACCAAAACCATCTGTCTGCATGTTTATCTCCCTCTGCCACAGCTCATGAGGGACAGCTGGCACGTGCTTGTGAGTGGCACCCATGGCACTGGGGCCAGGAGCATGAATCCTCCTGCACAAGGAGCTCAGAGCATTAAACCTGGCACATGCATCCTGGTATGTGAATTGTGCTGCACTCGGGAGCTGGGAGCGTTAATGTTGGCACCAGCATCCTGGTGTGTGGATTGTGCTGTGCTCACAAAGAGGAGGTGTAATGTTGGCATTGCCCCTCACTGTGGAGGTCCTGCTGCAGGCAGAGCTGGAGCCGTGCCGGAGCCGTGTCAGCGCTGAGCCCCTGCAGCAGGAACAGGGATTGACACCAGGGCCACGCGTGCTGGGGGCCACGTGCAGCTGCACTGGCCTGGACAGCTCCATGGGTAGGTCAAACACACCATGAACTGCCCACAGAGCACCAGGGCACGGGAGAAACTGGGGGTTTCATTTCAATTCAAAAAGCAGTGGCAGTCCAGCGGTCTGGTCAGCTTTGCCACATGAGCTGTGGTTTCACCCTCGGTGCTCCATGGGCTGAACACAGCAGTGGATTAGGACAATTCTGTGTGCCCCCAGGACTGCTCAGGCTGCTGCTCCTATTTGTGCTAAGTGGCACAGGATTGCCAGTGAAACAAGATGGAGGTTAAACACAGCATTTTCTGCCCAGTGTGCACTAGAATCCTTGGGATTAGACTCAGCATATGCTGGAAGAGTAGTGAAGATAAATTTATTTGTTAAATCTTCCTGATTCTTGTACCTCAACTTTTTATTAGAGACCAAAAGCTGCCACAACAGCAACAATAGTTCCTTAGCATCTGTGAACTCATTAAATCCAACAGCACTACACTTGAACAGTTCACTTATTGACAGTAGTTAATAACTAACAGGGACCTCTCATTCCCATCTTGTGGAATTAAAGAGGGTTCTCATCTTGCTCCTACAGATGGTCTCGTCTTAAGATGATGGTCTCATCTTAAGAACCAGATGATGTTCTTAAGGTCAGATCAGCCACAGGCATTTAAATAAAGACAGCTTGTTTCATCTACCAAGTCAATGGCAGCTAAAACAAGTCTCACAACAAGGCAGGGATGCTGTCCTTTGGAGCAGCAGCTCAGTGCTGCAGCTGAAACTCTTCCATTTCTTCAGGAAACAAACAGACCTAATCTCCCAGCTGCTGTCTGTGTTAGTAAAGCAGCAACTACATCACTCTGCTACTTCCTGAGAGAGGACAAGGAATGCCCCAACTAAATCCACATCAATAAGGGAAGAGAAATGTCAAGATCGGTATTTCTCCCATCCTTGGGGAAAGGAGCAAATAATTCTTTATATGCAACAGGAAATACTTGCTTTAACCAGCACGTTCAATTCTTCCACATCCTAAGCACGTTAATTTTAATAAGCCAACTGTATTTATATTGAAAGAGCTGGGAGAGAGTGCAAGCTGTAAATGTGTTTTAGTGTTTTCCTTCTCAATTTTTTTCTACAAAATTTGCAAGGAAAAGCTGTTTGCACTAAGCAATGCTTTGCAATCTATGCTTCATCATCTTTACTCATCTTGTGTAAGTTCACTCAGGTAAAGCTACCTTGGGTGTACTCCCACTTCCCAGTAGCATCCCCCAGTGTAAACACACATCCCTTGGAGTCTGGGTTCGAGTGTCTTGGTACTGCAGCAGCTCTGCAGCCAAAGGGGCCAACACTGCATGTGGATCTACAGCTTCCACACGAGAAGTCACCTGAGTAGGAACACGATCAAAGTTCTTCCCCAGCATCCTTCTCATGTGCTTCCTGGCATGGGATGTCATTTGGTGCTTGAGCAGGAAGGAGAACTGGCAGCCCTCTCGGATGCAGTGGAAGTGGCTGTTCACCTGATTGTATTTGCAACCTGCAGACACAAAAACCATTTTATGTTGCACATGAAGGTACTGAGAGGGAGCAGGACCACAGGGAAGATGATTGGAGAAGACAAGGCTGCTGTTCATGTGGATTTCTGATGGACTGAACATTAACAGTGGTCATGGCTTATTCAGAAACAGTCCTGAATGAAAAAACCCCAAACCCACAATCTACAGCCTGCTGAGCAGCTGCAAGAGAGGATTACAGTGTACAGAGATCTAAGACATGAGCCTGAGTCTAGTCCATCCCTCTTTGTGCCATTATAAAGGAAGGAACATTGCCATTACATCTAGTAGTGCCAATGCTCTTCAGTCTTAGCTAGTGCCTTTTTTTTTTATGAGAACAAACCCAGACATTTAGCTGTATCACAGAAGCTACAATCAAAATACACGCTCATAATTAGATTAGAAATGAAAAGTTCTTTTTTCTTTTTTTCCCCCCTTCTAACTGTGCTCTTAGAAAAGCAGTCTCATAGCAGCTGTAGCTCTGGACAGTGTGTGAGCTCTGGTCAGACAGGAATGAGACAGGAACTGTTTAGTGCCACTCCAACACTGTTGTGTAACAGTAAGGTTGTGTTGCTGAACAACAAGCAATTCATATGGCTTCTGGCATACAGCACTTCACAAATTCTGCTCCTTGTGGCCACAGCTGCGTGTGCCAGGCGTGCACATACCCCAAACACACATACAGCTGATAAACAATGGCCTGTCATAGTTCAAACACAGCTCCATCAGTGATCAGGATCTGCTGTTTCCCATCCTCCCTTGGCCATACCCTCAGATACACAGAGGCAGAGACCTACAGACTCTCACTGCAGCCTACAGGCTCACTTTTCCTTATCTATCAACATCCATCCACCTTTACTTATATACATCTATGCTTCACCTCTCTCTCCACAACTGTACACACTTATATAATTATAGACACAGAAACATACGTTGGAAAAAATCTATCAGGTGTGTTTGTTCAGAAACATTCACAGCCCTTAAAACAGGCCAGTGCTTTCTGCACCTGCTATCTGTAAATACACAACATAAACCCCAGGGATGTACACAGATGCAGAAGTGAATCCGTATGTTGGTAAAACCATACACACCTCCACCATCCCACCATGCTGCCTCTATCTAATGCAGGCAAATGCAGGGTGCTGGCTAAATGTGTGTCTGCTGGGCCAGCCCACAGGCAAATGTTCATCCTGCTGGATGCACACACCCCATCCCTCCCAAACCAAACGCTGCTGACACATGCAAAGGCTGCAGCTGCCTCGCTGACAAGCAGCTCCTGACTCACCCAGCTCATGTGGAGCTGACAGCCTGTGTTTCATGTGCAGGCCAAGAGTGTGTTTGTTGAGGTCCCACTTTCCCCACCCTGCCCACCCTCCCCATCCCAGTGCTCTGGGACTGGGAACAAACAGTGCTGCAGGACTGGAACACTCGCACAAAGGGCAGGTGAGGGCTCGCCTGTTGCCAGGGCATCCCTGTGGGCTGGTGTCAAGTATCACTGTCCTGCTTTGTCTAGCCCCTGCTATCACCTAAAACACCAAAAGGTGAGTAAATAACAGCAACCGTGTGTAAATAGGAGCTAGGTCGGTGCTGGCTGTGGTGTGTTGACACTCACTACCCTGGTTACCACAAACAAACGTCCATCTGGGTACAAATCCTTCATCTATTCAAAGCTGAAAAGTTTTGCTCTGGCTACTGTGGCTGTTTTCCTGCAGTGGGAAGGAACAGCACCCAGAGGTGTTATTCTGAACCTCATTTGCTTCCAGCCTTTGTTCCAACCAGCAGTGATAGGGAAGATGGGGTCTGTGACATTGCCAAACCACAACGAGAAGGTTTAAGTGAATCCCAGGCAGTTCAGGATAGAGTTGTCTCTAGGAACTTCCCATTCAGAATCCTGGATTTCAGCTCCAGGTACCTCTGCAGCAACCCATTCTATTTTCTGTTGTGCATTTGTTTTACCAGCTTTACTCTGGAGGCACTTGCTTTCAATAACTTCTGAAGTGCTGCTGATAGTTCTGGCAAGTGGGCCAGCCCCAGTCTGAGCCTGTGCCACATTCAGGTGTTTCCTCAGGCCCTGCTCTGAGGGGGGCTGCCATCAGAACTCTGTAGTCCCTGCTGCTCACAGAGGCTGTGGAGAATGGGTTTGGAGAGAAGAGAGTAGCTTATTACATGTTCTTGTCCATCTCTCTCTGGTTATTTGCCATTTGACTTTCAATATGCTGCACTAGCACTGGTTAAGAAAAAAAAATCCTCCTGAGAGCTCCCTTAAATTTCACCCAACACAAGCAGTAGGTCCAAAAGACTGTAAAGTATAAAAACAAAAACTAAATAAAAAAAGGCTTTTACAAGTAGACAAAAATAAGAAAAAAGAGGAAGCTGCATATCCAGACAAATTCATATATACAACTCTCTGTAGTACAGTTTCTATTCATTTACCTTGGGTCTATTTGTGAAAACATGCTTCAACCAGACAGACCAGGAACTGTTTTATGTTTTGTTGCCTTTCTTGTTTAGTGATTTAATGTCCAAATACCTCTTAAGCATAACTTGCAGGTTCTAACTTATGGCATTCTTGGCCTGGACATGGGACACAGCACACGAGAAATGGGACAAAACTCACCTAGTCTGCCACATTCTTCCCGCTTGGTAAAATATTTGAAGCCGTTGGCTGCCCTTCTCTCTGCCTTCTCATGCTTTTTCACGTGCCAGGGCAGCTTGGTGGTGATGTTAGTCACGAAGTAGCAGCCAGGACGCAGACAGTGGTAATGCCCTCGCATCCGGAATTCACAGTGCTAGAGGGGAGCACACACGTGCTGCTTTAGGCAGGTCTAAAACAAAAGCATCTTCAACTGCCTGCTACTGATGGTGTCCCTTCTGAGGTGTCAGAGGGGCCTGCACTGATACTCCAGATCCCATTTTATCTTCCACAACCTGCCATGCACCCTGTTCCCTCTCGAGTCCTTTTACCTTGCTATTGTGTACTCTGTAATACACTATTCTACACTGAAATATCCTAAACCTTACTCATGGCTTTCCCTGGATTCTTCACAGATTCATCACAGATTTTTATTCTATTTCATCTTATGTCTCTCAGATGATCTCAGATCATTCCCTTGTCCACTTCACCCAAGTGAAAGAAACACAAAAGTATCAAGATTTCCTGTTTGATAGAAACCAAATGTTTTTCCAGACCACGTAATTATGACTTCCATGATTCTGTAGTAGGGCCAAGAAAGCCACACACAGCCTCACTTCCTGCTGGGGAGTCAGTCTACCTGATCCTTCATCTCCTTCTCCCCAGTCCTGCCAGAACACTACTCTGGAATGGCTCTTACCTGGTTCGGACAGAGACACTGCAGGGAGTAGTAAGCGAACTGGTCTCGCACATTCACCAGATTATTGTTGGGGTTGATGTGGTCGAGGCAGTGGGATTCTGCTTTGCCAGAGGTTTTGCACACATACTTGCAGTTCCCAAAGAGACAGTGGAAGTGGAATTTGTTGGCATACTTGCAGTCTGTTGCCAAGCAGGGATCACTGGAATACATCCAAAACCCAATCATCACCTTCACTCATTTCACACATTTGTTTCTTTGCCAAGATTTAATTCAAGGGGAGCCCAGCTGAAGCCTCTGTTCCAAACATGGCCCACAGATTTCCCATAGCCACCTTCCTCTTCAGGGAAATTGAAGCTGGCAACATTACTGCAATTCCACCGAGCTACTGCACTTTCTTGATTAGGATTATCAGAACACAGCAATGCACGGTGGGTTCTGTAGTCTTTGAGGGCCACTTTTCCAATTTAAAGTTCAAAGGAAACACAACTCTTGGGCGTGGCCACTGCAGGATGCCAGGGCTTCCCCTGCCCTGACAAAACCAACACTGCCAGTCTCATCAGCTAAATGGGTTTGGTACCTTCCCCCCGGCCCCAAATCAGTCCATGGATTTCTGGCCCAACAACCCTTCACTGTCAAACATACAAAGAAAATACCTGTATTTCTGCACAGCTCTCGCAAGGGATCAAACAGGAATCAGTGACAGATCACCAAGTTTATTTATCTTCTAAACTCATGCCTAAAAGTGCTCTCAGATGCACTCAAAAATCTCAAAGTATTTCCTAGACTTTACAGAAGTGTAGCAGTGCAGCTCTGAGGAGAGGTACAGAGGGGACTGCAGGGCTGGGAGGATAGAAGGAGGCAAACAGCAGCTGAAACTTACTTCTCCTGGAACTGGAGAAATCCAGGTTTGACCTGAGGCTTGGCGTTCTCCAGGGAAGTCGTTGCCAAGGGTGAAGCTGCCAGGTTAGGCACTGATGCTGGGATCTGAGGCATCTGGGGTATGGTCGAAGCCAGCTGCTTCCAAGCAAGTAGTGTGGGAGCAGAGGGCATAGCAGCTGGATTTGGAGTGGGCACGTCCAGGGTGGGAGCACTGGCCATGGTGGCAGAAGCAGCAGATGGTGATGAAGGGGCCAGTGAAGCCTTGTTCTCAGTAGCAGTTGAGAAAGGAGACTCGGAGTTGCTTTTTACAGTTCCACCTTCAGTTCGGAAGTGAAAACTGCAAAACGTGATACTAATTCAGACATAAATTCTTGACCATTTCACGTAATTTGATTAAACATCAACAAGAATGTGGCAGGAGCCTGTAAATAAACTGGTGTGGATAAATCCTAAAAAGGGCTCTGGAGACTTTTAGGTAAGATTTAGGGCCCTCCTAAACCATCTATGAAGAGAAGGGAAATCATTAAGATGGGTGGAGACAGGTGCCATGTTAAACTTAGAGCAACCCCAGAATCACTGCAGTTACTGAGATCAGCTGTGGGGCAGCTTCCCAGGGCTGTTGGGAGAAGCCAGTCACCTGCAGTGAACCACAGGGAACCATCCAACAGGAGAGACCAATTGTGCTAGCAGATGTGTCTTGAAATTTGTAACATCTCCTTCCCTAGAACCCCTTCAGACTCAGACACGTGAATGGCCACTGAAGGCCCTACTCATTCTTTACTTGGACATTCCACTGCCTTTAGAAGGAAGCTGGGGCCTTGAGCTGTAGTGTGCACTGCAGAGCTTTCTCTGCCTCCTGCTCTCCTACTTACTTGGCATGCTTGATGGCTCCATCCAGGGTGCTGAAGAGGGCTCCACATTCCTCCACCACACAGTGGAAATGCACCTTATGGAGGAAGTCACACTGGGCATCGCAGAAATCCTTGGTGCCAAACCTGGCCAAAATAGACAAGCAGACATCTTAGGGAAGGCCCCAGGAGAGAAGCAGAGTTGGAACAGACATTTTTTTCCGTGTTTTTTAACTCTCTTAGCATTCCCACAAACAACAGTCATTCCAGAGAACCTAGATCCAGAATCTACCCACCCCTTGCCCTGGATAGGAGGGTACCTCCCAGATGGGAGAGATGAAGCATCAGCTAAGCAGCAATTACAGCCTGGACTGCAGAAATACTGCACAGCACCATCCCTGATGTACAGAACAACAACCCTGCCATGCAAACCCCAGAGCAAAACACACCACATTATCCAAGATATGGCTTGTGTTGGAGGAAATGGCCAAGAGGGCAAAACCAGTGCAGCGTGGTGTCACTGCTCACCCACTGCTGAGATCCTCTGGACTTAATAAGTGCAGCACAAATAAATGTGATTTCAGGAAACTCCAGAATCACAGGGAATCAAGAAAACAAGTAGGAAACACTGGCAGGAAGGATTTGAAACTTAACAAGGGAATCTTGCATAATTAAGGTACAACAAACTACAGTTGCTCTGATGAGCAGGAAAGCGAGAAACAAACAGCAGTCTATATGGTCCCAGGAGGGACCTCTCACCAACGGGAGGGTAAAGGAAAGAGAAAAAACTTGTACTGGAGAAAGAAGGTCTGTGGATATAGAACATGTGCTGTCAGTTACAGCTTGCAGGGAGAAGAGGAAGGAAAGTAACTGTGGGGTAAGAGAGAAGAAACCATGTTATTGCAAACTAAAGGGGCTGTTTTATCAGAGACAAGAAGTGTTGAACCTAGAAAGAGGGCCTCCCACAAAAAGGGAGGTGATGAATCAAAAATGGCTGCATTATAAAATTTGCTGTGGATGAAAAAACTAAAAGACAGAGCAGAGAATCTGGGATGTAGTGAAGACCTTCTAGAAGAGGAGATAAAGGGATTCATTCAAAAAATATAAAAATGCACAAATCAGTCAGTCTGGATGATGTATGTCCTGAAGTGCAATGGAAATTAACTCCCAAACTGATTACATTACCATTTGCTGGTTTTTAAGCCATAGAGAAGTGGGAGGTACTACATAAGTGGGAAAAAAAAAAAGGAAATTAAACAGTCAAGGTACTGGTTCTTTGAGGGGGAAAAAAAAAAGACAAGTCATCTTTGGCAATTATCATACCTCTGGCCTTAACTTCTCCTTCCAGTAAAGTAATGGAACAAATATTAAGAGGGAGGAGAAAATCATTAAACATCTAGAGGATAAAAGAACCATGAGCAATAAACAGCATCAGGATTATAAAGAATAAATCTTGCCAGACAATTTTAATTGCTTTTTTTGATAGAATTACAAAATTAGTGGATGAAGGGATGCAATATATTTGGATTTTAGTAAAGCATTTGATTCAGTTTTGCATATGCTTAGAATTAATTCCAGTTGGCCTGGATGTAATGCCACCTCATGGCTTGAAACTGGCTGAGGGACCATAAACAAAGGCTGATGACAAACAGCACCACACTGAGCTGGGAGAAGGAGGCATCGTGACTGCTGAGAGGACAACTTGGGTTAGTCTGTTTGACATCTTAATTAGTAATCTAGGAGTAAACAGCATATTTAGGAATTTCACAAAGATACTAAACTGGGAGGAGGTGGCAATACCAGTGCAAAAGGAGAAAAAGAGCACAGAGAGGTTTGGCAAGACAAGGGAGAACGTTCAGAACAGGAGAATCATGTTTAGAAACACACAACAAAATACACCTGGGTGTGGGGGGTGTTTTATACATTGGGAATCACTAAACAACATTAAAAGCAATTCTGTGTCACAGACGATGATAAACATGGTACTATACATTACTCTGTGCAGATAAAAACAAATTGTGAGCTGCCTTTTTGTGGGTAGAAAGCTTGTTCTGTCAGGAGGGGGGAAATTCTGCACCATCTAGGCAACAGCAGGAAAGCAACAGGACCCACAGGCAGGAGGGACTAATCCAGAGTCAGATTAAAGGAAGTAAGTAAACCTGGCTAAGTGGAATGCTGGAAGTTTGTGACTATCTGAAGGGGCTGAACTCCAGCTGCAGAGAGGGATGATCTGCTGTGGTTCAAGGGATATAAACAGAGCTGCAGCAAAACTACAAAAAGTGGAATTCAGGCAGCATACCACGGAAAAGGGTGTGACATTTGTGGTAGAATAATGCTCCCAGAGACAAGAAAATAGCCACACTGCCTGGCAGAATTAACAACCAGACCAGACCAAATTCAAATGGACTGCAGGGAAGGATCTCACGCCAGCCAGGGGCTCATGGACTGCAAGATTTTCTAGTCTTCTCCATTCAAGCCTGTGATTTACAAAGTGTGCACTGGCACACTGGGTTTTTTTTTTTTTTTTGGTAGGTGACTCTCTGTGTCAGAGCACAAACCTATGTGTCTGCCTGGGTGCATCTGTGAGCACTCAAAGCACATGTCTGTCTGAGCACGTATGTGCACGTCCCTGTACATGGGTGAGCTTTGTATCTGCTCCATTTGCTTTTTGAGCCTCCTTTCCTACAACAAAAGCAGCAGCAATCATTCCAGCTTCCATATCCTTTTCCTTACTCCCGTGCCTCTACATCCCCAGAAGCTGTTTTGTTTCAGCTGAAATGCCACAGGAAGCATGTCAAGGCTCCAGTGAAACTGGCCACGGTCTCACAGGACCAGCACTGAGAGCACAGCTGCACTCAGTCCCCTGGCCTCACACAACAGGCTCATAAGGAGGAGCCTAAGGTGAAGTCCAGGATAACAGAACTACATGAAGATCTTTGCTTGTATTTGGTTCTCAAGATTCCTTTGCAAAATAATTATATGTGGGCAGGTTATTTTTTACCAGACGTTAACACCTGGTGCAGGTAGATGTGAGCAAGGGCTAAATGTGTTCAGGTGATCAGTGTCTGAGAGAATTAGGCTTTTACATTCAAGAGAACTCTGTGCTCAGGGTGAGCCAGTGAGTCAGACACTTTGCAAAGGAAGCACTTCTCCCTTTCCTCCATTCCCAGTTCCATGCTCTCCTTACCGGCGCAGGTACATCTTCCATGGCTCAGAGAGCTTCTCCTGGACGAGTGCCTTCACTGCCTTGCCCAAGTACTGGGTTGGCTCCCCAGCCCCAGCCTGGCTGCCTTCACCTTCTGTCTTAATGTTCAGCAGGTTGCCAAGGCTGGCACTGGTCTTGGACATCTGGAACAAGAACACAGACACTGCATCAAGCCCAGCACACGGGCACAGACACGGCCACCCTCAGGACTGTCCCACTGAGAGCAGTGTCCCCAAAGATTCAAGGACAGAAAGTCTGTGCAGGCTACTCCAACTGCATCAGCCAAAGTTAGTAACACCTGACTCTTCTGCACCTTCCACCCAACCATCACAGAGCACTCAGATGCCCAGTGAATATTTATTCATGGATCTTGTTAAAGTAATGAAGCATCGTGTCTCCTTTATCCATGAGGAAACTGAGGTGAAGAAAGACATCTCCTATTTGACCATGGAAAAGGTGTGTGGCCTCCAACAGTAACAGCCCTGTGCAGCTCCTACAAATTGCTGGTGGTAGAGCTGGTAAACTCTAGTTTATTCAGTCATTCCAGGGCTGTCTCCTTTAAAGACACTATCAGGTATGTGTGAGGGTACAAGGACAAAGATTTCATTCAACTGGGGAAAAATTCTGTCTCAAGTTCCTGGAAAATTCTTAATAACTTCACCAATAAAATCATGTCACTTTTCTGTGCTATATGGATACATCCTCTACAAAGCAGGACTTGGACTCAATCTGAATTGCATGAAAGGCTTCAAATAGAATCTATACAGAGAAGGTTTAGAGGTCCATGAGGTGTATGATGTACAGGATAGAAAAATGAAGTTACTCAAGTCTGCCTGGAGGGAAAATTTTCTTTTAGAATAAATCCACGATTTCCAAGACTCTTTTTTTCTCTGTTGTGCTCTCAATTACCTCTAGTAACAACAGCAAACTTCACAGCATGAATAAAATGCGGGATTGGGCCCAATACTTGCACTGGAAACTCCACCCACTTGAGGGTCTAGAAGCCCTTTATAAAGATCAGTTAATTAAGCCTGACAGCCCCCTAAATAAACGGCAATAGGCTACAGGAATCCTGGTTATTTGAGGCTCTCTTAATGCCCCCTGAAGGTAAAGCCCCTGCTGCTGTGTGGAGACTGCAACCCTTTATGGCTGGAGTCAGAAATTCAGGTCGTGTGTTTCCACTGGTAATTCCATTTCTGTAAAGGGTTCTTTTCCCTAGAAAAACAATGAAGGATTCCCCCACGGTCAGAAATTGTGTGCAGCAAGAGGAAGAAGCAAGTGTGATGCCTTCCTGAGCAGACTGAGCTTGACTTTGCAGTCTTTAGTCTTGGAATTGGTTCCATCAATCACACACACAGTGGGCTCTACTCCTTGCTGGTTTATCTCCTTGGTTAATCTCACTCCTTTAACCTGACTCCTAGTTTGCACCTGTGCTACATTTGCTTTGCACAACTTAAAGAACCTTCTGTCAGGCTGCACACAAAGAAATGCTTTTTTCTAAACATATACTTAAATCACATATTATCCTGGAGATTTTCAAGTGAAATCTCCATTGAAAGAGAATTTCCCTGATCTGGGACCTTCAGAATGACTCATGACCCCAGAGAGCAGAGTAACTAAATTAATTTGCTCACTAAAGAAAGACCTGCATATTTGGAAACACTAAAGGGACAATACAAAGGAACAAATAAGAAATTAAGTTTATAAGGGAAAATCAAAATCCCAGTGTGACAGAGAGCCAATGGAGGAGCAAAGTGACATAAGGATAAATGCAGAAATTAAACAACATGGAGAAAAACAGTGATAAGAAAGAAAGGAGGTGGGAGATTACCAGGCAAAGTCACTTTGCCCTCTCTTGAGGGTTATATGGCCTTGATGCATGTAACACCCAGAGCCAAGGGGATGGCAACAGTTATGCCTATAAAACCTATCACATAGCAGAATATTAAAGCATGGCTCAAAGGGTGCCCTGATCTCTACTGCAGTTGTATACAGCCACAAAATTAATCTTGGTACAGGAGAATTTATCATGTGAAGAGAAATACATATTTGAGATGATGTGTAACTTAACAAAAAAGCAAGGAAAAGTAACTGTGCATTATCTAAAATAAATACCCTAGAACACAGTAAAGGGGACTTTGTTAGACACCATGACTCACACCGGGAAGAAATAAATTGATGATTTTGGTTCAAAAGTTCTCATTTTTTTCTTCTCTTTCATAAAAATAGATTTTTCTCTCCCTCCCCAAATGAAGGGAATGTTTTTATGTAAGTGAAGAAAATGAGTAATTATAAAAGGAAAGTGAGAGAGAAGTTGACAGGTTCTGAAAACAAAAACAAAACAAATAACAACCCCCCCCAAACAAACAAAAAAACAAAACAATCCAACCCAACCCAGACCAAAAAAACTCCACCAAAAAATGAAAAGAAAAGAAAAGAAGAAAAGAAAAGAAAAGAAAAGAAAAGAAAAGAAAAGAAAAGAAAAGAAAAGAAAAGAAAAGAAAAAAAAACAAAAGCAAAAAAGAAAAGAAAAGAAAAGAAAAGAAAAGAAAAGAAAAGAAAAGAAAAGAAAAGAAAAGAAAAGAAAAGAAAAGAAAAGAAAAGAAAAGGAGAAACCTTTTGGAGCCCTCCTCTGTCTAGAAAAGATGGGGGAAAAAAAAAGGTGTCAGAGGCGGCAATATATTTCTTCAGCCAGTTCATTAAATTAATTCGTAAGCAGTGGCTCTGAAATTATACCCGATGAAAAATGGTCTCAAAATTTAAATGGTACAAACTCATCTTATTAGAGGCAAAACATTAAAAAACAAACACATCTCTTCCCCCCCTTCCCCGCTATCGCAGCTTTAATTTCTCTTGGTGGGGGGAATGAAAGGCGTTTGATGGATGGCTCTTACCTTATTCATAAGCGAGGATAAAAGAGATGAATTTGCCGAGACTGTGTGGCCATTTGATTCATTACTGAAACACACAAACCAACAGGGTTTAGTTAAGATGTGCACAGGGACTGTGAGCGCTGAGATTAATCCTTCTCCCTTCAAGCTGCCTCACTCCTCACCTACTACATCCAGAGGAAAAGAATGATGCCAACCCTCCCTTGGGCGGGCCAAACTCACTTACTTGTGATAGCCAAGAGGGACAGAGAGAGGGTCCCAGGTCTGCAGAATTTAGTTCTTTCAACTACTAAATAGCCCAGATCTCTTCCCCCGGTGTCCACTCCATCACACTTCATTTGTTAACTCATTACTTCCCCCAGGTTCTACCCTTTCATCCCTTTAGAACTTTCAGAAATATCACAAAAATACCACAAAAGCAGAGGGGATGTTGATGAAGGCTCATACTGCCAGGCACAGGGTCCCCTGGGCAGTAAGGCAGGCAAGGCACAATCCTGCACTGAAAGGCAGCCTTAGGATCTCTGCAGTTGGCTCCAAGTGCTGGACTCCCAAAGCGAGGCTTGTTTAAATAAGGTATGGACAGGAATGGGTACAAAGGTCCACAAAGTGGAGCTCACTTATCCCCAGGATCAGTTCCTCTGCACTTTTTCCACACAGCACAATCCCCAAACACTCCTGTTCTCAGCAGAGATGCGAAGCAAGTGGGACACATGCCTTGAGACAGGTGCATTCACATCTGCACAACCGTCACTGTAACCGTAGGCCAGCCCATGCCAGCCCCAGAGTGGAGTTAGTCTGGCACCCAGTTGTTTTGGGTGTCCAGATTCTCTGCAACGTGCTTCCCTTAGCCCTGATTCAACAGACTGCAGCGGTACAAATGCTGCTGCTAAGAGTGTTTCGAGGTGTAGCACTGGGGCAATTTCGATCAGCAATTGGTGACAAGAGGACTAAGTGAAAACAGCTTTGCCAGTGGCTCGATTTTCAGAAGGGAGCACAAGAAGTGAAGCTCTTGTCCAAGAGTCAGTAGGTGCCTGTGAGTCCAAAAATACATCTGGAGAACATAGACCTAATGGGGAGCAGAGTGAGCCTGCCTGTCTCCAGTTTTGGGGTGTCCAACACAAGCACACTGAAGCCACCTTTCAGCCGCACACTGTGCCCCCTTGAATTACAGCTATGGAAACTTCCCAAAGCCCGATGCTGGGAAGTGTTGAGCGTGCCTGCCTGCCCACTTCTCTCACCCGTGGTCCTTGACACTCAGGTCCAAGCTGTGCTCCTGCAAGGGGTCCTGACTGGTGGCAGATGACGGTCCCATGGCCTCCGCGGGTTCCTGCTTCACCTGGACTGGATTGAACCGTCCGGGAGGTGCTGGTTGTCCATTCCCTGCTCAAGAAATACACTGAAATTTAGTGCAAAAAATACACTAAAAGCACAGGTCTAAAATGAGGTTACAACGGCAAATAAGTAAGTTAAATCACTGGCATCAGTGCCTAAGTGGAAAAAGCAAAGAAAAAGTGGGGGGGAGGGAAGTACTGGGATTGCTGGTCAGCATTTATTGCCAAGTTGACATGATGGGTTCTGACGTCCACTCCAGCGTCGAAATTCTTCAAGTGATAATTATTGCAAAATTATGTCAAAGTTGTCCAGGCTATGGGCCCTTTAAAAGAGAAGGGCGGAAGGAGCGTGGGGGAGACCTGATTCTCTGCACAAACTGTCATAACTAATTTGCGGGGCTGCCTCTTAAGCGTTTATTAAAGACTCTGTTAATGCTGAGGCAATGTGGCAGCTTTCGACTGCTAGTCAAGCCCCCTTGCTCGTCCCCACTGTCAGCGTTGCCGTAGCGACAGCGCTGGCCCGGCACAGCGCATCTCCCCGCCGGGACTATCGAGGGTGACAGCACCGGGACTGCTTCGAACCGAGCGACCTCCTGCCACCGCCCCCTCCTGTCCCCGCAGAACCGGGAACAGGCAGGTCTAGTGCCGGGCCCGGGAAAGGAGGATTCCAATTAAAAGAAGAGAGGAAAAGGAGGGGGGGCGGGAAGAGGAGGGAGGAAGGAGAACAAATTGAAGGGAAAAAAAATTAGGAAAAACAGCAAAGAAAAAAGGAGGGGAAAAAAGTTGCTGACAGAAACATGTCTGCAGAGCTTTTTTCCACAATCCCCAAGTGACTAAAATATTAATTTACCCTCCGGCAGTACAGCTGACGGTGAGCTAGTTCTCAGACAGCAAGTGGCATTTTATTAAAAAATAAAGGAAAATAGTTCCCTCAATGACCTTTCTCTGCTTTAGGAAACAATTTTTCAAAGAATAATTTTAAAAGTATGTGAAGTATCCCCTCCCTCTTTAATCAGATCGCTTCCTTCCACTCCCCCGTTGCCGCTGGGAAGCCGCGGCCATCAGGCAGCGCCCAGGCCTCGAAGCTCCGGCCTGCCCCAGCCCGGTGCCACAGCCTCCCCTTCACGGCCCTGCTGCCCACCAGGAGCTGACCGTGCTCAGCAGACATGAGGGGAGGTTCCCTCCATCCATCTGTCAGGGCCGGGACCGAGCTAGACTTGCCTCAGCTCTGGGTGGCAGCAGGAAGAGCTCTGGGCTGCCCCAGGGCACTTCCCATCTTTTAGCCCTCAGGGAGACCGGAGCACGCTTGCAAGAACCGACCAAAGAGAAGGTCCTGTTTGTGGACTGTACTAACACTATCCCCAAATCCACAGCTGGGACAACAAAGCTGGAGCACAGAACAGTCCCCCAGATCAGGAAAACAACTGGCCATGGGCTACAGGACCATCAACACTGGGCCCAGCTAAAGCTTGGTACAGTCTCACTAGAGCCTGCAAGTGCTGGCTAAGGCATTTTTTCTTCATTTCTATTTTCAATACAGTGCCTCTCTCTTTTCAGCCTATAGCAAATTACACATGGTAACACTTCAGCTCTGGTATGAGCCTACTCCTTCACGGGCAAAGATGTTTCTTGCCTCTCTTCTGGCCATGTGGGCATAGACAGGCTCCACAGGAGAACTTGCCAAGACTGCCTTCCTCAAGGGTTAAGTAGACACAACCAAATTTGTTCTCCCATTTATTTTCTTTTTCCATGCCCTCCCCAACTGCAGTCCCATGCACAACTGGGTGGCTTCTCTTTCACTCTCTGCCAAGTCAGCAGGCCCTGCTCTGCCTCCCACCACTAAGTATCACAACTGATGGGGTAACTCACCTGCTTCAAGTGCCACAGACGGCTTGAGTGCAGCTGCTGCCAGCCTGGCCATCATAGGAGAGATTAATCCCTTACTAGCAGAGATCCTTTCCATTATAGAGGCTGCTGGAGCAGGTGAAGAAGTAGTCACTGGCTCACCAGATCCTGAAACTGCCTGGGATGAGGAATCTGTAGGAGCAGATGATGCTGGATTGGTGCCAGAAGAACCAGCAGTCATCAGATTAGCCGAGCTGGCAGGAAGTGGTGTAGAGACCCGACTGGGGATGATGGGGAAGAAGGATCCAGCTGTTCCAGGAAGTGCTGAGTTGGAGAGTGCCAGGGCCAAGGGTATATTGCTGGGAAGAGCCTGGGAAAGCAGGCCAGAGATCTTTGTGGCTGGTGTCATGCTGTTGGCAGACTTGGTGGCCTGTGAGGAAGCAAGCTCAGCCACAGAGGAGGGTGCAGCTGGGACGATGAGAGAAACGGAAGACTGCTGACTGGTTGGGGAGGCACTCAGGCTGGAGTTCTTGGAGCTCATGGCGGAGAAGTCAATAAGGTCATCGTTACTGGACTCCTCCTGCTCGTTATCCTTGGAGCCCAGGAGTGAGGCAGGCAGGCCCAGCACTCCTGAGCTCCGGATGTGCCGGCGCTCGTGTTTGCGTTTATGGGAGGTCATCTGGCTGGTGGAGGTGAAGGTGAAACCACAGCCTGCCCTTATGCAGTGGAAGTGGTTGGTGGCCTTGCTGTAGACACAGCCCTCATACTTGCATTCCTCATACTTGTAGAACTTCTTGAAGCCATCCTTGGCATAGGCATCATCTTTGATGTGGTAGCTCTTGTGCTTCTCGATGTCACACTTGTTCTTGAAGGTGAATGTACACCCAGGTCTCCTGCAAGGGCATCGAGGAGAGGGTGGTTGGCTGTGTAGGCAGAGCTGCTGTCTCCTGCCTTCCTCTAGGACAAGGACTGGGGCTGTAATGAGACAACTGCCCCAGCTGCAGAGGGGTTGATGAGCTGTCTGGGGTTAACCTGGGACACCCAGGCAAGCAGATATGCTGCCATGTGGGAGAGCTGGGAAGCTCACCCCGCTCTGTGGAACTGCCACAAGAACATGGGAATACAGGCACCCTCCACCAAAAGTTCCAACAAAACAGCAGGTAAAGGGGACTAAAGTACAAACTGTTCTTTCCTACTCTTCCTGAAAACAAAAGGAATCAGGAGAAGAGCAGTTGTGTACAGAAGGCTAAGCCTGGCTCCAGGAGGGATCAGCTGGCTGGAGAGAACCCTACCATGGAAGTGCCATTAGCAGTGCATTAATGGCCTACTTCAGTTGCACTCTGAAGAGCGCTGTGGCCTCTATCCTAAATGATTCTAGGCTCTATTTTCTAGTGGGTATCCTCTCCTCGGATCATACCCCTGCCTTCAGAGTGGTCTGTGGCATAATCCTGGCAATCACATCTGCTCTGGTATATGAGTTCTCCCAGGAGCAGTACTGAGAAGGTCACAGCAGGGAAAATCAAGTCCCTGTGCATACTGCTGAAATTATGACTTGTCAGAAGGAGGCAAACAGACCACACATCTCTGGGGCAGGACTCCTCCCCTTCCCTGCTGTCTCACCTGCAATGGAAGTGAGTGGTTTTCTGCCCATAGAACTGGCATTCCACAGTGCCGCAGTCCTCCGTGGCACGGAACCGCTGGAACCCGTCGTTGATGAGCTGCGTGTTCTTCTTGTGAAAGTTCTCATGGGTCATCACATCAGAGGTGCTTGTATAGACCTTGTTACAACCCACCTACCCCAGGCCCAAAGAGGAGTCATCAGCACAGCAGTTTAACAGCCTGACATTATTACCAGCAGCAATAAATACACGAGCAGCACACGTAAATTTAATAGTTCCATTTGTGTGCTTCTCCTAGGGGTATCAAGTCATCACTTTAATTCCCAGTCTAAAGACTGATAGAGCATAGAGCAGTTGTGAAAAAAACCAAACCCAAACCAACTCTCTGGGCATGAAACAGTAAGAAAAAAAAGAGAGGACTGTAGGGGTAGATCACTAGCTCCAGATAGTCATGCCTGCTTGGGGAAGCAGCTAGTAGGGTTCCTGCTCTTAAAAAGAACAGAACACTAACTGATGCTGTTGCTTTTTGTTATCTTCGAGTGACACAGAACAAAGTAGGATTTCATCTGGTTGGGGAAGGCAAAATTGAGTGGGAATAACTTATTTACTTCTTTAATCCTTCTGGGAGGTAAGGCATGCTGGTGCAACATGAGGCCAACCAGTCTTCTGAGCTTGTAATAAACAGTTTAATTCTAGCAAATCTTAAACCCCATGTTCAGCTGATTTTAACAAACTGGTGACTTTCTTTCCCTGTCACTGTTCAAGACTCCCACTTCAATAATTTTAAACTTGTGCAGCGAATGGGAATACTGTGATGAGGATGGAATGCTGAAAACCTGCCTTCCTCTGGGTAAAGCGGGGCAACTTTGCCATATTGAGTAAAAACCCACTGGAATCTGAAAACGTCCTCAGCCCTGCTGAGGGAGGATTTTTTTTTCTTTTCTTCTAGCACAACATGTGCCAATGTCTGCACCATCTCAGAAATGAAGAGAAGGAAAACACCACCCCTTAGTTCAGCCCAGGTTGATTCAAACAGGCAATAACAAAACCCATGACAAATACCCAGCGAAAAAAATAAAAAGAATCTCCAGCTATTTCCAATATAAAAGAGCCTCTCTCTCTCTCCACACTGACACCTTGAAAAAAGACAGGCCCTTCATGGCATTAAAAAAAAAAATTAAACAAAAGCGTCCTTAGGAATAATTTGCAATGCAGCTCTTGGTGCGAAAGCCTAAAAAAATGTCAGTTTATATAAACAGCTAACTGAATTTTATCCACACCAATTATGGACATAAAGAAAAAAAAATAACCCCACGTGATGGATTGCACAAATTCTGCCATTTAAGCAGTATTTTCTTTAATTGGGAGTTTATATTCTGACACCTTTCCTGTAAGACACTGCTTACATGGGCATTACTTTACTGGAACACAGTGGGCACAGGATGGAATTAGCCATATATAGTTGTGTAAGCGAGGGTCTCTATTCAAACTCAGAGTGACTTAAAGCTGTGAAACACTCCTCATACTCTAAAAAAAACAACAAAAAACAAACAAACCCCACCCTGCTCAACTGAAGAAACTAAATAATCAATATTATGGAAGCATAACAGAAAATGTCCTCAAGAGAAAGACACATGAAATTCCCAATTTCTCAAATGCTGTAAGCACATGCTTCAATCAGCCCCTATTCAGGACAGAACTTGAGTGCATGCCTAACATTTAAGCATGTGCTTAAGCCCCATTGACTTCAGAAAGCTTACCTGACTTCAAGACATGCTGAAGTCTATCCTAGCAAAGCATTTAAGTATGTGATTAAGGCCTTGTGACTTTAACTGGGGTCTTAAACTGCTGGGACAGGTCAGGAAGTGAGCCTGACTTGTCACACCAGAAAATCTGTCACCAAGGGTTGGCTGATCACTCTGCTTGTAACTGCAGCACATTTTCAGGGCAATGGTTTAGGCCACAATTCCACTAAAATGAATACATGTCAAAGCATTGAACCAGGAAGGATCAGGGTAAGACCCAAACAATGTGGTGTGTCCATGTCTAAAACAGTGAAGGCATCACAGTGACATCTGTGCAGCAGCTCCAGCTCTGGCAGCACACTGCTGCTGAAGCTTGGCTGCCCCTGAAACATCCCAGCCTACACCACACACGAGTGCCACTGGCAAAGGACATGGAGATCCAGAGGTGTAAAGTGCAGATATGTGACATTAAGGTTCAATTACTTTAGAAATTGATTATGGAAGAAATTAACCCAGTGCTAAAGGGCAGATGTACCACAGGGAAGTCTGGTTTCAAGGGAGGGACAGATCAGATTTGAGGAGAGACATTAAAGAAGTCCCTGAGTCTCGGAGAATAGGACTTGCTTGAACAAGTCCAAGACTGTGAGAAAACATTGAGACCTGCTTTGCCTCACTGCATGGACGAGGCTTCTAAACACTGAGAATATGTGGCTTCCCTTTGCCATTCCCAACACTTGGCAGGACAAGTGCAGTGAGGACAGGGCACACACTTGTCAACAAGGCTCCTGAATCAGAAGCGAGCAAGCCAGGCTGTGAACGTCCCCCCTCTCCTCAGGACAGCCCCACACTCTCTGACAAGGGAGCAGCGTGGGCAGAACTCCCAGATCCCCCCGAGAGGAGCCCTGGGGCTGTGGTACCTGCATGCAGTGGTAGTGAGTGCTCTTCCCGTTCAGGTGGCAGCCGTGGTAGTACACGCTGCAGTCGTCCAGGGGGCTGAAGCGCATGAAGCCGTGCTGCAGGGAGTTATCACGTTTCTTGTGCATGTTGTAATGCCGAATCACATCCTGTTTACTAGTGAATCTCTGCAGAGATACAGAGACAGACAGTGAGACACACATGATGCCAGTGGGTGAGTAATCCTGGGGGCAGGGTGGGTGCCTTTCCTTGTTGTTAATAAACTTATGGGACCAGGAGTTGAAAGCTTGGCAGTAATCACCCCAAGAAAATCAGATAAAAGAGGAATTGTGTGCATGTATCTTCTTGGTTAAAGGAAAGTAAATACACATGAAAAGTTCTAGAGTAAACATGACACTGGGGTGATGCCCAGAATCTGCTCCCTGCAGCTTTAAGATTGCAGTTCTTCTAACATAATTTTAGCTGCTACTATCTCAAGAAGTGCTATAGTTAGAAAGCAAACCAGTGAACTGAACAGCCCACAAGCAATGAAGACGAGCTTCCAAGTCACTCACTGTAGTGGTTAGCAAGACCCTGGCTGCCACATTCATGTCAGACTAGAAATTGGGAAAAACCCTTTGCTCTTTTACACTGTCTTCATTCACACAAGTCTCTTGTGTCCCCTAGAAGGTAGGATGGTTTTATTAGGAATACAGGGACAAAAGACTTTCTTCAAGTCACAGAAAAAGATGCTTCTCTACAGAAAAATAGAGCTCAAAGCTAAATCTGTATGACCAGAATATCCTTTTCAATCTCTACCTGCTTGAAACAATGAAGGGGTACCTCACTGTCAGAGCAGGCTAAGTGCCTTTAAAATGAAGCTTTTTATTTCTATTTCCCACAGACATCAATATTTACCACTGAAGGTGAGAAAGTAAATCTGATTTTTTAAAAAAATAAATCAATATCCATTTATTTTGAGCAGTAATTGAAAAGGCCTGTATTCTAATGTTTAACAACTTTTCTAGTCTGCCTCATAGGAAACAAATGATTATCGCTTCCACTCTTTCCTCCTATAATATCAATCCTGATCAATCTCGTTGGTATTGGCACAGGAATATATGGATATAGATTTCAACAGAAATCCCTTGGAGGCTGGAGCTATGATTTCCCAGGGTGTACATACAGGATTGCTATTGCCAATCATTGTTAATTTGTGCCCACTTATTACAAAGCGTTACTTATTCTAAAATATATCTCAGCCATAAAATAATTTGCATTTTAAAAAGCAGCCTAAATCCTTATTCCCTGCGAGACCAGACAGCTCCTTTGCAAGCAGCTTCCAGACTCCTTAGGAAATAATCATGAGGCAAATCATAATAATAGTTTTTTTTGTTTTTCCATGCTTTGTGTTTCTCTCTTTCTGGTGCAGGGATATCTGTGTCACGGTTGGGATAGACTCATCTTGATTACTCGATGCTGGGCTAGAAGGACCAGTACGTGCATCCCGGAGAGAAACTCTCTTTTGATCAATAGAAACCCACAGCCAGCCCCAGCAGCTCCAGATCAGCTTCCTCTGCTGTGGTCAGACCGATCCCCGTGAGACCCAGAGGTCTCCTAGGGCAGGGCTGCAGCTGTGGCTGGGGCACGGCAGAGGCAAACTCTGGGATTCCCACTCTGCATCTGCCTGACCACAGAAATGCCAGTGCCAAACTCCCGGACCTGGGACAAGGATAAACAAACACAGCACATGACCTGCTGCCTTGAGTGCATAGCCTGGCAATTCTCCCAGCAATTACAGCATCGCTCCTGCCCTGCCTTCCCCACAAATCCCACACTGCTGCTGCCCTTACGGGCTGTTCTGTTGCAGATATTGCTGCTGCAAAGCCACTCGGGCAGCGGGAGGGAAAGAGACAGACTAACAGATCAGCATTCCCTGGTTTCAGGCACAGTTTGTAATGCAGCACAATTTATGCTCTTGGTGTTTCACTGATATAAATGTGGAGTAGTTCCCACTGACTTGAGCTGATCTATATTCGGCTCCTCATTGTAGCAGTCTTGAGTTTGCTTAGATGGTATTAGATTGAGTTAAATGGGAACGAAATAAAGTTCTGCTAAATTCAGAAGGTATCCTGCCCTCTTTCAGAGCAGCAGAGTGAAAAGGCATGTGCATGCACGTGGGAGGGAAGCACAGGACGCACACTCCCCCCATGTGTTCGGGGAGCCGTGCTGCTGTTCTGAGCACTGCTCTACCTGGTAGTTGCACTCGGGGTCGAGGCAGTGGTAATGTTCTCTGTACTGGTACGCGCAGTGTATGTGTCCACAGTGCTGACTGCCAGAGAACCTGCAAACGGGAGAGAGGGAGACAGGATAAACCACAGTCCTGGCAGCAGAGCCCCTAAGGAAGGTACAAATAAACTGAGTCCTGTTCCTGCTTTCATCTCACATGTTTATGGCATTAAACCCCACCTCCTTTATCCCCTCCAAGGATGGTGACCCTCATGCCTTCCCTTGCTTATTTGTCACTATTTAAAGGTGCTTCTTGAGCCGGATCACTCCGGTCCTGTACATCCCTAATCTGTCTTTCCCCTTGAAATTCATCTCTGTTATCTAAGTTGTTTACTTGGGGAAGCATAAGGAAGGAGGGTTCCTAGAACCAAACACCACACAATTCTAGAACAGAGTTGAGATACCATGCCAGCAAGTTTCAGAAACCTCCCATAACAGAAGGAGACAAATAAATGTTGGGCAAATATGGATTCTAAATTTTAAGTATAAGCCCATCTAGTAGGATAACAAAAAAGCTGCATACAGCAAAGTTGAAAACTCCTGACATACAGGGTAGCAAAAAAGACCAGAAAGACAGAAATGCCGTGTAATACCTACATACAGACAGTACGTAGAATTTATTGACTGACAGACACACCAGGAATTGGCACAAGGGGATGATCCAGTAATGGGGTAATCAGTGCAATGAACTCCCTCGTGTATATTCTAGAGGACCCTAGAAGAGCTTGAAAGGGAAAAGCAGTGGAGAGAAGGGGACTCAGAGGGGAAACATTCAAAGATAAAGTACCATCTGCTCAAAGGTTCCTCAAAGGTTCCTCACGTCACTTAAGTGCTAAACACAGCAGGAGTGCATATGATAAAGGGCATGGGAAAGAAATGAGGAAGGGCAACAGATAAAAAAGGAAAATGAGAGGAGTGAGGGTATCCTGGGGAAATAGAGGAATGGGGCAGGAGCAGGGAAGATTACAGATCATTGTAAGGTGAGGTAATGTGAGGCTACGGGATAGAAAAATTTGGGATGAAAAACAATACTAAATAAGCCATTTCTGAAGCACAGTAAGGAAGAGGAGGTCAACTGTGGAGACAGCAGGGCCTCTAGGAGATGGAAAGGGGACTTAATTGACAGAAAAGATAGACATTGCTAAAAAATTAAATGACTTCTTTGCCTCAGCATTCACAAAGGGAGACAGGGACAGATGCCAGGAGCAGACATGCCTTTCCCTGGGGAAGGAGAAGAAATACTGCAGGAAATCAGGATCACGTCAGAACAGGTGATTGAGAAACTGGAGCAAACCTCAGCAGCAAAGAAGAAACAAACCACAAGGCAAACAGCAGGGCTGGCTGCACAAACAAAGGTGTGGAACTGAGAGCAGAGGAAAAGATTCCTGCTCAACACCTGGGCAACTGCTAGGCTTGTCCAGGGCAGCCGCCAGAGCCACCGTGGCACTGACCAGGGATATGTGGGTCCACAGCACACGTAACCAGCTGGTCCTGCTAGTCAGGGCTTTATGTCAGCAGCACCACAAGCAGCTCCTCAAGGAAAGAAAGTGACCTGTGGGAAGCTTCCTCTCTATTCCACGGATGTGACGGGCCAAAAAGAGTAAAGGGCTTTGCAGGGCTGGAGAACTGTGCAGTGCAGGCCAGGGAGAGAAAAGAGGGTGATACAGACCTTGCTGACAAATACAAAGCAGTTCAAATTATTATCAAAAATGAGGATTCAAAACGACCAGAGATACCAGCTGGAGTCAAAGAAGGGCCAGACACCAACAAGATCTGACTCTAGGAGATGAGTTATTTGAAGCATCCTAGCAGGAATAACAATGGGCTCAGTTTTAAAAACAACAGCTAAACAAGCACTCCAGCACTTCCAACTCCTACCCTCCTTTCCACGTGCCACGGGAAGGTGTGTGGTGTCTACAGCACAGGAAGGAAGGGAGAGACAAGTGTTCCACCAAGCCATGTGCTGGGGGAAGGAGGGAAGTGGTGAACCCAGCACAAAGGGGAAAATCTGCTCCTTCAGTGTGCAAGGTTGGGCTCCTAAAGGGTTATATTATCCTGTGTTTCTTCTGACACTTGAAACAGTTCAAAGCTATTAATTTTTAAAGCACAGCATCTGTTTAGGTTTTTCATAACAGGAAAGCTTACACACCACACACTTACATGCATACACACACACACTCACATTTACATGCACAGACTCATCAGTACATCAACACCCCCCTCAATTTACATGAACGTACCCACAATTTCCATGCACATGAACAGACACAAACACACACACCTGAAACAAGAAAACTCACAGACCAGCTCATCACACTAACATACAAATCCAAACTCTTAACTTGTCAATACAGACACATAGATTCATTTGCACGAGAACAACCCATTCCCTCTTCCTTTACGTTCACTGGTTCACTTCTTTTTTAAATTTTTTTTTTTGGCCAGAAAGTCTTGATCTGGCAAGAGTTGATAAATAAATAATAATAAAAATAATAAATAAAGAAGTTAGCATGCTTAGAGAGTATTTACAGACTCATTACTATGTAACGATGATGTGAAAGAAGAGAAAAAAACCCACCCCAATTACAAGGGGGGAGGAAACCCACACAGAAATAAATATTTAAGCAAGTGCTGCCAGAAGCACCATCTGCTGAGGCACTAATAATAATAATAATAATAATAATTTTTTTCTGTGGTCTTTTTTTTTTTTTTAATTATAAATATACAGGGAGGAGGAGGGGGAAAAACAACCCAACCCAAACTAGCTAAGTAAGAGGTTTTGTTTTGTTGTGTGAGAGAATGGATTATCCCTGGGCAGCTTTTGGCAGTGGCTTTGGCAAACTCATTAAGCTAATTATGCAGTACAGACATAAGAGTGTTGTGTCTCTTCTCCCCCCACCCCCTGATTTTAAGGCTTTAAACTGTTTTTTTAAATGTGTGTAAATTGAAGGGAAGTGGCTGTGCTGCCAACGGGTGGCTTGCGGAGCCTCTTAAGCAGGATGTGGTGTCCCTGAGGTAGCTCACAATCCTCCCTCAGCTACCTGCCTGACCCAGGGGAAGGGGCTTGCAGAGCTCCACAAGCAGTGAATGCAGCTGAAGTGTTTACAGCTCTCTCCTTGAGAGGGGAATGGGGGACAGAAAGGTGCCACCTCCTCCCCCACTGCAACCCCTGCAATTCCTGCAATCTCAGAAATAAAAGGATACTGCTCCTTCTGCCCCATGCAAAGAGTGGTTTAAACCCCTGCTTTCCTTCCTGTATTCTGTATACTCTACTACTGTACTGTCCCCAGGGGCAGTGAATTCCCACACACACTTGAGGCACTGCTGCTTGAGGAGCTGCCTGTGATGGCACAACTGTCCTCTCTTCCCATGGTGTTTTCTGCTCCCTTCTCCTACATCAGGGATTTGGGAAAAAGGGAGGAAATTAAGTCACTTCTTGTTCCATTCTCGAGCTAGGAGAGTGCTGTTCCCACTCTTTTTCCCTGCCAAAATGTTCCCTTCATTTGCCTAGCAGCTGACTCCCACAAGGAGACTGTGGGCTCTGGTAAGGTGGGAAAGCACAGTACACACTCCCTTCCCCTGTCATTAATAAGTGCCCAAGTGCTGGTGGGAGCAAACCCTCCAGTTTTTTCTCTGGAGAGAAGTGTTTGCTTGCTTCCCTGCCTCGTGTCTGTCTGGATACAAGGGGCTTTAGTTGGGAGCTTTCTCACATTACTGATGGAGGATTCAGATGACTGGGGGCAAAACCTGATAGACCCTTTATACTAAAAGCTCTAAACCAGGTAGGTGTTATGCAATCATCTCCTCTGTCCCTCTGGCTCTTGTGGCATTACTCACTCTGCCCCACCACAACAGCCTTGGGCTTCCTCTCAGCATCACTGTCCTGACCTAAGCATGCCCACAGCTGTGATAAGGTGCCCTACTCTGCACCTGATTCAGTGAGGGCTTCTCAGACAAATGAGCTGCAAAAATGTTCTAGGATAAACATCCCACACTGATGCCAAGAGCTCTCTAAACTCAAGTCACTTGTGAATCTCTCCAGCCTAGATTCTCATCAGGGCTGAGATGTTTTCTGATCGCCTCCTGCAGACACTGGACATGGTAGGGGGAAAGGCACTGGACAGAAAGAACAGGCAAGAGGCAGGACTCCCATTTAAATCCTGGGCTTCTTCAGGGAAGCAGTTTTCCACTATTTGTCACAAAGTCTAACAGCTCCAGGGAGCTAAGCATGTTCTTGGCACCACTGTATACTGCTCACAGCTACTGCTCTCCCAAGCAGGGGGACAGAGCAAGTACAGATGCCACGGGAAATGGAAGTGCCAGTCTGGTTTAAACACTTGATCCAGACAAGAGGTTGTCTCTCCCACCACCACTCCACCTTCTTACACTCAGCCCTCTCCCCAGCAAAGTCAAAAGTTTTGCCTACCTGGCAATATACTTCTGGTAAATATTTACGTCTTCGCTGACGGCTGGTTTGTCAGTAGGTAATCCATTCCTAATGAGAGACACACAGGGCAGAGCTGGTTAGCAGGAACAGGGCACAGCTTAAACTCCTTGCTTCTCTCACACTGCTGCTGACAGATCAGGAGAGAGGGCCTAGGGAAGGGTCCCAGCAAAGACACACATATGTTTAAATTCCCTCCCCTTTGCCCTTCAAATCCTGTACCTTCTTTTCCTAGAGAAACACACAGGCTGCCCACCTCCCTTCTGGCATCCTCCCTCTTGGCAGGACTCAGAGCAGTTTGAGAAACTGTGAAGATCAACCACAAAAGCCTGCTTCTACAGAAAAAAAGCCTGTACAAAAAGGTGATGGCCACATGCAAACAAACACCTCTCTGAGGCACCTGGCAGCGCTGCCCTTGCGTGCACGGGAGCTTTGCCCCTGGCTCAGCTGCAGGAGAAGAGTCTCTCTGCCAGCCACGTTGTGAGTTATTGCCCATTTCCCTGTGGCCAGCAGCCCTGGTGCTCTATCACCAGCACTGCAACAGTGGCTCCAGCCCTTGCATGGGGCCTCAAATGCCTCTTTGTTTCACAGATACCCCAAAACTCTAACAGACAGATTACATATTTTAATCGATGAGAAAACCACCCCAACTGTCACATAGGCCTGGATTATTTTTATTTCATTGGGAAGCAGACAAAAATAACATCCTCAGAATTCGTGGAGAGGGAAAATGAGATGCAGGGCTGGACTCAGGCCTTTCCATGAGATAGGGCCACCCCAATGCCTCTCCAGATAGGCTGCACACCATCTTCTTCATGAGCTGCCTGAGCCCAACCTCCACTCCTCCTCCTTGCAGCTCTGCACCCTGGCTTAAACAAGGACACCTTGGCACAGAGTTCACTTGAAAGTAGATGAGTTCAGGGCAGGTTAATGGCATTGGATCTAAGAGAGTTTAAACCCATGGCAAAGCTGTATGTGCAGATGTCTGAGAGTAAAGGGTAACTCCTGCCAGGTTATTGAACCCAGTGGGGACTGGGAATGGGAAGCCAGGGCCCAGATACCACACTCTGCACCTCCTTCACCAGCACAATTAACAGGCTGCTGTCTTTTATCATGGAAGCCTGGATCTAGTGAGCAGCCTGAAGGAGAAGGGACCAGAGGCCATTCTGTACTGCAGTGTGTGATAAGGACACAGGAAGAGGCCCTGGTCACCTCCATTCCAGCTGCAGTCCCATCATGATGCCCTGGTTGAGGAGTCCTGTGGCCAGAGGAAGCACTGTGGTGCTGGCTAACCCACATCTGCCAAGAGGCAGGAAATGAGCAAGAGAAAGGAAAACAAACTGGGATCCCAGTGCAACACCACAGCAGATGAGAGGCTTCCTTATCTTGCTTGTGCCTTCAGGCACAGCTCTAGGATGGCGACTGAACCCCGGGCAGCTGAGTGTTCTCCAGGCACTTCAGGCACAGAGCCTCGGACCAAGTCACCCATCACAACAAGGGCACTGAATCTACAGGAATATTTACAACACTGTGGTTTTAAGTAATAGAAGTCCCTGCCTGTCATCTGTAGCACATACAGGTTCATCCTGAGTAGGACCCTGAGCAGACCCTGAGCATCCTGAGTAGATGCAGATGTTAACAGTCCTCTCTTCTTTCCTATACACCTTTACCATGGAGCTGGTGATGGGGTGATGCAGACTTTTCTGGGACTGCAAAGAGTATTCAAGCCAGCCCAAGGTCTCCTACGTCCATATAACAAACACAAACCAGCCTTTTTCCTCATCAGAGGACCAGTAGGGTGCGTGTGATGGCACAGAGGGCAGGACAGAAGGCCCTGGACTTACTACAAATGACCCTGTAGGATTCACAGTTTACAACAGCACCAGGTTCATGGTGAGAAACAAGTAAACCCAAACCATGCCAAGAAAGCAGAGAAGTCTCTCCCTTCCTTCCTGCTGCAGCCTGACATACATATCTATCTCCTCTACAGCTCCCACCTCTGGAAGTCACATTAAAAAGTAATCCAAGGTTTGGCAAGGCCTTCAGTTACCTCCATTCAGTCAATGGCATCACTGCAGAGATTGCTGGCAACATATGTGCAGGAGGTTGTTAGTGGTAATTGGGCTAATAAGTTTGCCCAGTCTGAGGGGATAATTGAATCACCTCTGTTTGTGTAAGCAAATTGAGAAGACACAGGCCTGGCCCCACAGAAGTAGGTGTATGCCTAACTCCTATGGAAATTGATGGGAATTAGGCACCAAAATGTCGTCTGAGTTCTGGGACAAACAAAAAGCCCCATCTTGGTAGCAGTAAAGTCAGCAAAGTCATGCCTCTGAGTTAAATGGGAACAAGAATCAGGTTCTCCTACAGACACATCCAGATGCCTGGGTAAGCAAAGGGAGAAGAAAACAAAGTAGTTCCAACCTTGACCTTTTGTGTGCTGACAGCACAATGTTCCCTCCTCTTTCATTTTAACTTATGAACGCAGGAGCTATTGGACTTCAGATTCATGGCTATGACTGCTGATGGCAGGTCACAGCCTTAGTGCAAACCAGATAAATAGAGATGTAAGGTATAAAAGAGGAGAAGAGACTTTGACAGAGAGCAAAGAGAGACATTCCATGAACAGTGCAGTATTTAATAGTGCAAGAACTTGGAATTGCCCACAGAACCACACGCAGACTTATAGTACGATCCCCCACGAGTACTTAGATAAGAAAAGTGTGAGTATACTTACTTTACTGTAGAGACTGTTCCAGTTGTGATGGAGTCTGTCTTGGAGAAAGTTGATTTCAGGTACTCAGGAGTGTTGAATGGCAATGAGATGGACTGCTCTGGCCCGGCCACGGGAGTGCTGCTGGGGGTACTGGCGAGGGAAGCAGGGGCCAGGCTGGGCACTGGAGCTTTTACTGGAGTAAGCTTCTGAATGTTCCTCACATCGTACTTGGAAGGCCGGCCTACCTTGCCTGTCTTGAAGGCGATGGCTCCTCCCATATCTGGGCTTCCTTCCCCAGGCTTGAAAAGGTGCAAGTACTTGACGTTTTCTAGGTCATACTTGGAGGCCTTCTTGTAAGTGTTGCCATTCTGTGGCCTGATGCTCTCACCTGTCTTCAGCTTTTGAATGAAGAAATCATACTTGGAGGCCCGTGACATCAGGCCCTGCATCTGGGAACTACTGGGGGAGGGCAGTGGCAGGATAGTGGCTTTGGTCTCCGTCAGCATGGAGGTGTCTGGACCTGGCACCCGAATGGGCTGTGCCAGCACTGAGGACGGCTCTTTGCCCAGCTTGGAGCCCAACTCCTCAGATTTGGCCAAGTGCATGGGCCACGAGAGCTGCTCTCCAGCTTTCAGTTTGCGGATGTACTCCTCATACTTGGAGAAGCGGGCTCGTTTGCTCATGGCATCCTCGCTGGGGAGAGAGGCAGCAGGCGCCGCGGCCTCTGAGGTAGCAGTGTTCAGCTTGTCGAAGCTGATCTTGCGGGCCAGCTCATCCCGCATGTTCTGGTCATCGTAGCCGAACATGCCCAGGAACTCGTTCATGGTGGTGGCAGCGTAATCCCGCAGTGATGAAGCTTCCCCTGCAGTGAAACCAGAGGAGAGAGTCACACAAGGCACTGATTTTTCTTCTCCTCCCATACCAGCACTAGTAGCAGGGACGGGGGGAGGAAGGGGAGAGGGGAACATGATCTACTGACGTTTGGCTCACTTGTTAGGTTTTATGACTCTTAAATTAATTTGTTTAAAAAAAAAAGTAATTAATACTGGGGTAAAATAAAAAGAGTTCATCAATGCCAGGAAAATCAATTTCCTAAATGTTCTAGCCGATGGCTTTTCAGTACATTAAACAAAGTTTCATAAATGTCTCTGCACTCTTGCCTTGGTCTAATATGAAGAAAAAGTAATTTTACTGGAAGTGAGACCAATGCCAATATGCCGAGGTTTGTACAGATCTGTCCTTGCGTATATTTGTGTATGGAAGGAGGTGCACAGAGGATAGATGGCAGCATGTGTAAAGGGGAAAACCCATGTGAAAATGCTGTGTGTGTTGGTGAAGAGCAAGCAGGGCTGAGAGCAGGCAGGACAGCGTGGTGTGAAATGGATGAGGGAGATGGGCGAGGCAATGTATGGGGTGGAGCAGGAGGAGGTCAGAATAGAATAGTGCAGAGAGGAGGAAAGCAGCAGAGATGGAGATGAATTGAGGCAGGAGAAGAGCAGCAAAGGCTGTGTGCATAAGAAACTTGGCAATGAGGAGTGCAGGAAGGAGTGGAGAAGAGAAGGCAAGACAAAGACAGGACAGCTCCCAATCACTGTTGCAGTCCTTCCTTCCCTATCAACTTTGTAAGTTGTAACTTCCTTCCCTGTCAACTCAGCTTGCCCTCTTCCTTCTCAGTCCCTATAACTGGACAGCTACTACCTGCCATGGGGAAAAGGGCCAGTGCAGTGAATTCTATGGAAACCTACAGGCAGCCTCTCAAGCAGCCAGGAACAGCTTCCAGTAACACCAGGAAAGGGGAAAGTCCAGACAGGTGAGAAATAGGTAAGAAACAGCCTTCAGGATTGAAGGTAATAGCCAATAGGTAAGGAACATCAGGATTTACACTGAGGAGAGAAATCTGTTGTCCTGATGTGGGCTCCAGGGAGGGGGAGAAAGGCAGTGCTCCAGAGCATGGGTTGGGGAAGGGACAGGAAGGAGTTAGTCTAATGGAGCCTGATTACAGGGGGAAGAATGAGGAAAAGCTGTCCTTCCTTGGGTCTCTCCCTTCCTTCTTCTCTTCTCTACTTCCTCAGGCAGTTTCACAGGTCACCAGGATGGGAAGAACACACATCTGGAGGTCACCCAATATCAGGGTAAATGAGGAAATAAAGACTGCTCTGATGTGCCGGCTTGGCCTCATTTAGGCTTCAGTCTGACACAGTGCTCCTCCTCCTCTCCCTCTTGCTTTCTCCCGCAGAGTAAAGATTTACTGTGTGCTGGAGTTCTTCAAACCTCCCTTGTCATCTTTACTCAACACTTGCTGTGGCTCTAATGGGCAAGCACTCTACCTTCCCAGGCAGCCAGCACAGGGAGGTGCACCGGCAGCAGAAGGCAACTTCTGGCCTTGGGGTCCCACTCAAAACACTGCTGTGAAACACAGTGGAAAAAGCACCAAGATGCTGCTACAGAACATGTCAGTAGATCCAAAAGATCCCTAAGATGTGGGGAATCTGACAGCCAGGGGTGCCACTTGCACAGGCAGGCACGTACGTGAGAGCATTTCCGCGCACACGAGAGCCTGTCAATGAGCACAGCTGAAGTTCAATAGCCATCAGCTCCCACAAATCAGTTTTCACAGGACTCTATGGAGGAAAAGACTGCCTGTGACGGGCACTAAATGGGCAAGACCATGAAGGTCACATTCCTGCTCCAGGATTGCCCAGAATAGCTGTTTTACTGCAGCAGAAGTGCTGCTACACTGGTTCCCTGTGTACGTGGTTCTGGGGGAAGGCGTGAAGAACACGCTTGGAGCCTCCAAGGCAAAGGACAAAGCCACACCTGCTGGGACCTGGTTTAGCCCCAAATGACCTTCCAGTTCCAGACACTTAAGCCCAGCATTCTGCGTGGGATTTGGGATGCCTGACTCCAGAATAAACACCCTGTTAGTCACAGAATGGGTGGCAATGCCCCTCCAGTGTCAGGCTCAGGGCACAGCACAGCCTCATGGTTAAATGCAGAACCATTCCTCACTGGGTCCAGAAACAAGACTTGCCTACAGGACAACTTTAACACACAGCATATGAAAAAATTTTATTCTGCCTTAAAGCAGCGCTCCTCTTCATCTCTTTTTTTTTCTTTTCTCCACTTCCACTTCAGTGTAACCCTGTGACCCAACAAAGGAGACCAAACCCAAGAAATCCCTACTGATCTATCAATTTCCTGTTTCTGTTAAATCTGCTTTCCCTGTTCTGCTTTTCCTTTCTTTTTAGACCTGTAAAACAGTCCCCAGCTTCCCTCATAATGCCCTGACTTCCGAGCACTGCACAGAAAAACTTTATCCAGCCTGTGTCAACCTGAAAGGGGAAAAAGAATACCACACTGAGGATCTGATATGAAATTAAACTAATAAATGTGATTTTTGCTAGCATTAGCCACTGCCCTGAAAGTCAATGTGTCCCATCTTTGCTACCATGTGGCTGTACCTCAACTGGTGTAAACAGTTAGATGCAAAATCCAAGCCTATAGGAAAGGGGGGGGGGGGGTGGTTCAGAACTTCTTTTGAGCTTTGTGAAGTCTGAGTTCAACTTGCACTGTCATGGATTTAACTCCCCAAATCCACCTTGAATTCTGCTTTTCTTTTGCTCAGATTTGGTTCCAGATGATCACAACACCTTCCTTGATCAACAGATTTGATTTGCTGGTGTTGCTCAGTCTTTCCTCACCCACATTTGAGATGAAGCTCTGGCCCGTTCCCACTGCTCACTGCCAGGAAATGCAGCTCCACTCATCCACCATGAGCCCAACAAATCTCCTGAAGTTAAGACAACCTGCATTCAATTGCTCGGGCACCTAACATGAAGGACAGAGTCTCCTCCAGTGGAGGCACCTTACAGAAGGGAGCTGGCTCACCAGGAAGATTGTATGAGACCCCAGCATCTCACTCCATAAAGACTTTCAGACAACGGTGAAGAGGTAATTGATACTATCTAACTGACAGAAAACCCTCCTCATATCCACCAATTTACAAAAACCAAGCAGGACAACAGCTGGGAAACACTCCCTGCAAGGAATCCTGGAAGCCACAGGAAGCATTATCCCAGGTTTTCCTCCCCCTTCCCTGCAGTGCATTTTCCTATCCTTTCCTGTGTGATAATAAAGGGCTCCCTCTCCCCTTGCCGCTGCTCTCCATTTGTGGGCATTGCCAAAGAGCAGAGATCTGTGTGTCTCAGAGCAGCTATCATATCACAAAGGATCCGAAGCTAGCAAAAAAGGCGCTAAAAATAGCCTGCAGCAGCACACTATATATGGAAGGAAAAGCAAAACAGCCCAAATGGAGTGCAAGGTCTGGGTACTGGGGGATGGGACATCCCAGCCAGGGATCTGTCCTTTATGCTGCTTGGGGGGGAAAATATGTAGACTTGGGGGATATAGAATGATGAGCAAGAAACTGGCACTTCACATGTATACTCTCCTAAGTGGAGTCTCCCCAGGAAATTAGAAAGAGAAAACTCTCCTGCTTGAAAACAGGGCCAATGAATATTCCAAGAGACAGCCAAGAAGCTAAGAAAAGAAAGGCAGATCCGAAAGCTTGTACAGGGGGAAGCTCCTACTGACTGCTTTAGCCCACTGTGTAACAGAGAAAGTGAAGAACATGTGTAGGAAAATCTGCCTGGGTATGTGTGCGTCAGTGAACGATTGTGGAAAGGGATCTGTGTCAGAGTCTGCACTGAGAAATCTCAGTGCTATATATAAATGTGCACAGAGAAGCACAGCCTGGTCAGTGGGCAAGAGAGGGTGCCTGAATGAATGAAGAAATGTATCTGCACGTCCTGATCAGCTTCTGACACCCATCTCCACAGACACCAGCTTTGTGACTCCTGAATGTGCTTCCCAGGTGGACCGGGAAGGAGGCACACAGGGCAAGACTGAGCACCGAGTCCTTAGTCCTGTTTTTCCGAGGGGAGGCTCAAAAAGAAACTCCATCTTATTTCAAAGCATGAGGCTTGAGCAGCATTGTCCGAGTCTCTGTGAGCTTCTGCCTGATCCACAACAAGCCTTCCTGTCAGCCTGGAAGGACACAAATGTGGCCAGGGTTTGGCAACAGACCACAAAAGGTACTGGTGGAAGACATGGACACTAACTGAACCCCCAGAAAGTGGATAATGTGTGTACACACCAGGACCCTGGGAAGCAGGAACCCTTCTCATCCCCATATAATTAGGATCACTTTTCCCACTAATCAAGAAAGCCTGTTAGTGTAGGATTTGGTTTTCTGTGTGGCTCCTGCTTTTCACAGAAGTTTCCAGCCGATGCAAGTATGGGCTCAGTTTTAAACACCGCTCAGCACTGTCACCTCGTACCCTCTGTTCTCACAGGGAGCAACTGGTGCTCAGAATCTTCAAATCAAGGTTTCTGTGATGACTCCCCCAGAGCCACTTTGATTGGGAGGGCAGAGCTGTATTCCTCTCTTTTCATCAGACTCCTGCAACCCCCAAACTTCTGACAAAAAAATCCCTCCTTTTTGACAGAGGGACTCCCAAATCTCGCTGGAATAAATTTAGCTCATACCCAGTAATATCAGGTCTTGAGAGGACTTGGTGATGAGCAGCTGAAAATTCATTTCCTGAACACTGACAGAAAAAGTAAAGGAAAATAACTTTGTCCTTTCCAAAGCAAGGGGTGTTTCTCGTGCTTTCAGGGAAATGTTGCAAATGACATTTATAACAAGGTTCTTGAAGCAGACGCTCGAGACGTGGCAACACGTCTGTTTGCAAGTCAAATCCCACGTGGTTCTATATCTAAACTGGACCCCTCCTGTGCCATTACCTGCCTTAGATATAAATGAAGCTTAAGTCCCCCCCCTTCCTGAACAGTTACCCATTTCTGCATAATCCTTTGACAATACAGCCCTGCAAAGGTATTTTACTCAAATCTCTTCCCCCAGTGAGAAATCGCAGCTTCTTTTCATATTCCTTAGTTTGGTAACATTTTTTCAAAATTTAAGTTCCCCTCTTTTTAGTTTTCATAGCAAATAAAAGCTGCAAATGGTGGGGTGGGGTGGAGTGGTGTGAATTAAAACAAACTAAACCAGAGTCCAGGCACAATCACCTTGTGTCTGGGAACGACAAGGGCTTTCCTATCAAAGGAAACTGAAGGTCACACTTTCCCTCATTGATCTTGCAATGTTTGTTAATTACTCTGTCACTGATGTGGCGAAGGATAATTAAACAGCTCTGTTTATATCTTATATGCATAATTATGTGCGCTGCCACTGAACTCGTGAAGACTAGAGAATGTGCCTCTCCAGAAGGGGAACGGACAGACGGAGATGAGTTTCAGCTGCATTATTAACAGGAGGAGGAAAACATGCGCACACACAAAAGGAGGAAAGTTTGATGGATTCACAAAGTGCTGAGATCAGGGGAGGGGTGCGTGCAGGTGGAGCAGATTAGGGGAAGATCTTTCAATTACAGATCCAGCCCAGCTGAGTGACAAATGGGGAGGGAGCTGCTCTGCCCTAATGGAGAGAGTTCAATTCACCCAAAGCTTTTATCAAGGCTTAGCACTCATACACCTCCCCAAATCAATCTGGGGGAAACCTGGCTATCAGAAAGGGAGCAAGAAAATCATCTGAGGCTTTCCCAAATGTCTCTTGTTGAACTCAGCTCTTGAATGACCCACCAAAATAAAGCAGAAGCAATCTGAAAATAGGAAATACACAGCTGGAGGAAGAACACACAAGATGGTGGGGGAAACTGAGGTTTGGGAGCGGCATTTTCACCAGCTGGATCCCGAGCTCATGGTGGACAAGGCTCAAGGACTGGGCCCCTCGGGAGGAGAAGCAGCACCACGACACGAGCGTCACCTCAGCCCCTCTGCCCGGGCCAAGGGACCATGAGGCCCCAAGAAGGGATGGTGACGTTCAGTGTTGGGTGGCTCTGTAGGGACTCTCTGGGGACCATCCCAGCCTTGTCCTGGCTCAGTTCGGCCTCCCACAGGCTCCTCCTGGTCCAGTCCGGTTCCTGGAGGAACACCTCAGCAGCCATTCCCTCCAGAACCTGCATCCCAGTGACTACTCCCATCCTGCCCGGCCCCACAGGTGGAGCTGCCATGTCCAGGGACATGCTCAATTCACCTGAGGTCCCACAGGTCGGGGCTTGGCCTCGGCAGCCACGGAACAGGCAGCCATGTCAGAGCTCCTGGCCCTCCCCCAGCTCCTCCTGGGGCTTTCACGGTCAGTAACTACTAATCAAGGTGCCACGTGTGGCCATGAGTGTGCTTAGATAACCCAGCCAGCCCGTGTGCAGACACCCTGCAGAATCCTCCTGGGATTTGTCACAAGACAAATCTCTGCTTCTCTTCGCTTTCGTGGGAATACAAGACCAGGAAACCAGCACCCACCACAGCTACGGCCATCTGAGTGGTGTGAAGGACTCTGGAGGGTGAGATTGGCCCTACCCAGGGATCTGTGGTCTGGGAAGACCTATTCAGCCATGTCCACCTTCACACCACCCTTCTTGGGAAGGGGAGGCTAAGCCAGAGGCAAACTCTGTATGGTCCCAAGAGCAAGATGAAGGGCCTTGGCAAGGGGATCAGGGCTCTCACCTGCCCCCTTGGCTTCCAAGTGCTGCAGGACCTGGCATGGACACAGAAAATCTAACTCTGAAGCTGCCCTGTGTCAGGAAACAGAGGGGACAGAGGGCTTACCTGAGGTGGTTCCTGCACCCAGCTTGGAGCCTGGTTCGCCACTGGAGGACCGGTAGGCATCGTCCTTTGCTGGCCCATCTGAATCCCTGTCATCCAAGAAGTTCCCATCCTGTGAGCCCCTCAGAGCGTCTGCCTCGTCCCCGTTATCTTCCTCATCGCTGCAGCCCTTGGGCTGCACCATGTAAACCCCTTCAGGGGGCACCTCTGCGCTCTCGGTGCCTTTACATTCCTTGCCCTCTGCTCGCCCCAGCAAGGGCTCCTCGTTGTACTCCCCGTTCACCCATTTCTCGATCACCTCCCTCCTTTTGTCCTCCTCGATCTTCTGCACGCGGCTGAGTCCATCTGAAAACTCTGTCCCCAGCTCTTTGGTCCCAGGCTGGGACAGGTCCTTGTTGCTGCTCTCCTGCTGTGGCCCCTTGTCCGCACGTGCCTGCTCAGCTCCCCCGTGGTCGAAGACGACTTGGCGGCTCAGCTTGGCACAGATGGCATTTAGCTTCAGGCCGCCTTTGCGCTTGGCAGCCATCGCGGGTTTTCCTGAGGCTGCGTCAGTGCATATAGTTCTTTCAGCTGGGAAGAGAGAGGAGAAAGAAGCAAGGAAGGGCATTAGTGGGATCAGACAACTTGAACCCAAACAGCAAAAGGATGGTGCCAACCCAACGGGCTTTTAGGCACGGCCAGTCTCATCCTTGGAAAGGTGGAGCTACTACGTGCTTCCTAAGCTCTGAGTGGAAGCCCAGCCAGAAGAGCTTATGAGAAGCATCCTCTGAACCTGCTGGGACCAAAATATGCCACTGGCCCCAAGAAAGGCACTTATTTGTGCTGGGACAGAACTGGGCTTGAAAGGCCCCAAACATCTCAGGCAGGTGAGCACGGCACCGGCCTTTGTTCGTGGCTGAGGCAGGACACGGGTTTGTTAAAAGCCCAGACTGCCCTCTCCTTCAGACTGCAGCACCACCTGCTTTAGGTCCCCAGCTCTATCCCAGATGTAGTGGGTGCCAAAACCACACCAGCCAGCGACTGCACCCAAACATCTCTAGCAAGGACAACAGCTTCCCAAGCCTAACCCTTTGGGACAGCGAGGAATACACCTAAAAGAGCTTGTGCATAGTCTAAGAGAAGAGAACCAGTATGCATCTAAAAGAGCCAGTACGGAGGGCCCTGGCAAAGTGTGTGTATTGGAGCACCAGAACAAGACTGGTGTGTCCCAGTGGTATGGAGAAAATCGCTGTGGGCTGGTACTGGCTGATCAGGCCCCTCTGCCTGCTTGCTCGCGCACACAGGAAATTCTGCTCTCATACTTCCCAGCACAATCAGCTAATTAGTGTGAGTTTGTTATTTTAATGTAGTTTATTCATATGTGACAGCTAGTAAAGGAGGGGTGAGAGAAGGTAGGGGGAGAGAGGAAGAAGGTAAGGTCTTAACTTCAAGGTCACAGAGAATCTTGCACTAAATGGTCTCTATCAGAGTCACTTGCATAATTATTGCACCAACAACTAACAAGGTTCAATCCCAAATAAAAGCAAAATAATTATTCTAAAGCAGCTGCACTGTCTCATTTCTCTCTTTATTTCTGATACCTCTGAGAGATGCCCAGACTAAGCAGGGTTAAAGGACGGAAGGCTGCAGTGGGCACACAGCCTGGCTCTTCCCCCAGAGCAGAGCTGAGGCAGACCCTGCCCTGCATTCCAGGGCTCAGGAAGAGCACTCAGTAAAACACTTGCTGGTCACACATGCCACAGGAGTTACTGTGGGGATATTGCTGGAGGTGGAGGTCCCTCCAAAATGGGCTCTTGTATTTTACATTGTGCTGAAAGAGGGACCAGTCACGTGTAGACCGAACAGAACATGTCTCCAGACCTCGAACAACGAGAACGGGTTCCTCCACTGCACCGGAGTCCCTCGTGGCACACACCTCCCTGTCACCAGCACAGAGGTGCTGCTCCACAGAAGCACAGTGAGATTAATCAGACCCCCTACAATGCACCCAGAAGCCACCGTGACAGCCCCTAATCCCATAACATGACAGCCCAATACAAACAGACTGAAACTTTAGACCTGCTGTCCAACAGCCAGAGAGTGGCTGCTTAGCGTAAACTCCTGACAGCTTCAGACATGCTTCCCTGTCAAGGACTGCAAGAAAAATAACCCCCCGACAAATATATCAGCCCCCTGCACAAAGGGAGGCAAAATGTCCTCCTCCACTTTCCAAACGCGCCCCCCGGCACAACACCTACGTGCAATCATGCTTTCACAAAGGGCAAGCACACGATGCTCCCAAACACGTACCTCCCCATCTAGAAATTACAGCTGTTCAAAGAGCTGTGTGTATGCGCTGGCACACTCTGTAAACACAGTCCTACACGTACAGGTTAAGAAGTCCCATCTCCCCAAAATACATTCCTGTGCCTTCCCCCACGCATTCCTTTTTCACACATTCCCCAACACAAGCCTGCAGCCCTCGCACACACAGATGGGCACAGGCAGATGCCCACAAAGCTGCAGGTCTCTGTTTGCCGGTGCCTTCCCTTCCAATCGCATTCCCACAATTTAGGGCACAAAGTGAAGGCCGGTCCTGTGCCCAGCTGGTACCACAGAGGGAGTCTCAGGAGGCTGCTGTGAGCTCCAAGTGGAGCCTGGCCAGGAGGGCCACTTAGGGTTCATGCCTGTGGGCTCAGGCCAAGGGCCAGGAGAGCCCTGCTGGCTGCAGGTGGCTGGGACAGAGCCTCCATGCGGTGCCTGCCTGGGACCAGGGCACTGGGTCAGCACGGAATCACCAGCCTCTCCCCCCAACACTGCCTGGTGATTCCCTGTCCACGTTCTCACCACAGCCAGCCCTACTTAACTGGTGAGGTCAGCATGGCTCACAGCTGGAGATAACTGGGAGGCAGACATTCGGCAGCCTAAATCCTCACTGCCCTACCCCTTTCTGCCAGGAAGGCAGATCCCGTTATTCTGGTCTGGAGGTGAGCAGCCAAGTGTGTGCACCAGCTGGCAAATGAATATATAAATATTTATTCAAAGGAAAAGAGGAGCAGACGTTCCTGAGGCTGCACTTGCCGCGTATGCAGCAATTCCAGGGAGCCTGCAACTTGTCTTCCATTCCTGCTCTGCCTCCTTCCATCTCACTCACCCTGGCTTTGCCCCTCTACCTCCCCAGCTTCTGCCCACCAGCTCCTGCTCTGCCCCTTGGCATCCTTCCTTTCCCTTCTTGTGTTTGGGATTTTTTTCTCATTGAAATTTTGAAAATCTTTTCCTAAAGTTTAAGCTGAAAATAAAGGAAGTTCTGAAAACATACCACTTCCCTGATCTATAAAACTAACCCCCTCAGATACCTTCCTGGAATGGGATTTGCTCTGAAATATCAAGGCTCTTGCACATCTACATCTCACCTGTTCCAATATAGGTGGAAATCAGAACTTCCAGCTTCTCTTGCAAACCTTGCAACCCCTCTCTCCAGGTCTGGAGACATTATTTTATCTTTCCATTCCCTTACTTCCTTGTCTATGGAATGGGAGGGACATTATCAACATTCCTGTTCCCCTCTTTTAGGCTGTCAAATCCACGAGCAGAAGGGAAACCCTTCTTACAGAGAAATGCTGAACATGAGCCTTGAGTTGGAGGAGACCAGAGCACCTGTATTTCGTTCTCTCGGGCAGAGGGAGAGAAGCTGAGTTGCTGGATGAGGGATCTTTCTATCTGCCCAAGGTCGGGACTGCCAGATCCCCAAAGCCAGGCAGAGGCACCCTCCCCCCAGGTCGAGCTCCCCACCCCAAATCACTGTTTAAAGATTCCAGACTAAGTAAACATCCCCCTTCATTTTCTTCGTCTAAATAGAAATGTTTTGATTTCACATCAATCTAAGGAAGCCATTTATAACCTGAGCCTGTCACACGGACTTTTCATCTCCGCCCGGGACAAACTCTCCCACAAGCTCTATTTACACTGAGCACTTCCTCTGAAAACAATGCCACCGGGAGTTTACTCCTCTTTCCCCCTCTCCACACCCTTCGAGGAGACACAGGCTCTTCCCCCTCTGTACCCATCGCGGTGGCATCTTGATGGCAATCCTCCCTTTGGGGGTCAGGCACAGCTCGCTGCAGCCAGGGCTGCCAGGGAGGCGGACAGAGCTCACCTCGCCATCCTGCTGCCCTGGCAGCCCAGGCTGCTGTCCCTGTCCCTGTCCCCACTGCTGTCCCTGTCCCTGCTGTCCCACTGCTGCCCCTGTCCCCACTGCTGTCCCTGTCCCAGTCCCCACTGCTGTCCCTGTCCCTGTCCCCACTGCTGTCCCTGTCCCCACTGCTGTCCCTGTCCCCTGTCCCCACTGCTGTCCCTGTCCCCACTGCTGTCCCTGTCCCTGTCCCCACTGCTGTCCCTGTCCCTGTCCCCACTGCTGTCCCTGTCCCTGTCCCCACTGCTGTCCCTGTCCCGGTCCCCAGTGCTGTCCCTGCCCCTGTCCCCACTGCTGTCCCTGTCCCCAGTGCTGTCCCTGCCCCTGTCCCCACTGCTGTCCCCGTCCCCGCTGCTGTCCCTGTCCCTGTCCCCACTGCTGTCCCTGTCCCTGTCCCCGCTGCTGCCAGCTCCTCCGAGCCGGGCTCTCCCCCTGCCCCAGCACCCACCAACCCCACAGCGGGTGCTGCAAAGCTGCCCACGGCTCAGCCCTGCCTCCCCCGAGGGACAAACGGGCTGTGGGCAACACGCGGTGTGCAAGAACAAAGGGATCCGCAGCCCTGGACAGAATATCCCAGCCAAGGGGCAAACTGCTACAGAGATAAGTCCGGCTCTGCCGGGAGAGGAGGAGAGAGCCCAAGCCCGGCTTTAGCTCGGGGTTAATGCAAACGGAGGCGGGCAGAGGGGAGGAAGGGTCCCAGCTGGAAGAGAAGGGCGGTGGGAGCTGGGAGAAGCAGCTGGCACGGCTGCGGGCAGAGGCAGGGTGGGTGCAGGGCAGACCCCCGCCCCAGGGGCGGCAGCGCCCGTTCTGCCGGGAGAGGGATGCTGGCTGGGGAGGGACAGCCTTGTCACTTCAGAAGGCCGGGTACGTGGAACAGATGGAGCTTTCATATTCCTATTGAAGAGTTTTAAGCCCAGCTGAGCAGCTCCGTTCAGGAGGGAGGTCCCAGTGCCAGCTTTCCAGGAGCTGCAAGCTCTCATTCGATTAATTATTAACGGCATTATTTGGGGCAGGGAGGGGGAAGAAAGGAGGGCTGACATGCATGCACAGTCCTTTTCTTTTTTAACCACTGTGCTGCAAACTTGACTGGAGAGACTCCAGTCTGCCCCAGTAGTCCCAAACAGGGAGGGCAGCACAGCTCGCTGGGGTGGGAGGTGAGGATGCTGCACACTGGAGCCCCTTCACACGTGAGCTGCAGTCCCTAAAACGGAGCTAAACCTTCACAGCAGAAGGCCGCTGGAGCACTGGGAACACGCTTCTCAGGAGCAATGCCCTGGCACTGCCCAGCCACTTGCTGGGAGGAGGCAGGGAAGGCAGCCAAATGCTCAGCCCCTACCAGAAAACATTTTCCCTCCAGCATGAAGACCTGTGTATTATCCCAGGCAGGGCCAGGGCAAAG